ATGTCTGGGGTTCCGCATCAAAATTCACAGCCACTGGGCTGTGTCTTGAAAGAGGGGCCCAAAACAAAACAACCATTTTGAACCGTGCTTGGACTGAGCACCAATCAGCGCCATTTCGTTAGTAGCAACACCAGCACCGGCAGCGTCAACATGGAAACCGTCTGAGCCAGTTTTGGCCTAGACGATCAAACACTCACATCCACGGCATCCCTGTCCTCAAGTGCCCCGACATGGCTGTGGAAAAAGATATGTGACAAAGTACTAGTGGTGTGCTGATTGCTTGCTGAAAAGATCGGAAAAGCCAAAAACGCCAGCCAGACATGTGAGTCACAATCCAAACCCGGAATTAAAATGATCTACCCGGAACCATGCAAAGAATTAAGAAGGCGGCGGCAACTATTTCTGGCTGGGACTGCACCTTGCTACCTTCATCTACCATCATCTACCCAGGTTTTGATTGTGGCTCATGTGATCAATCCCACCGAACGTGGAAAAAACAGGCCGACCATATGACAAGAGGTTCCTTTCCTTATAGCCAGCATGTTGGCTTTGAGACGCCGCAGCCACCGTTTTCCCCCGTCGCCCGCGGCCGGCGTGGGCCAATTCCCCCGGCCGCGGCGCAGGCGGCGCAGTCCTCCGCCTCCTCCAGCGGCGCCGGGATCAGCTCCGCGGCGGAGCTCTCGGCCGCCACGGCGCGGCGGAAGAAGAGCCCCGCCGCGTCCCGCACCGCCTGAGCGACGCGACGCGACCAAACAAAAAGAAAGCAGGAACAAAACACACACACACACACACACACAACCAAACAACCCAACAAACACTCGGGCACACACAGACACACAGACACACTTGCGCAAGTGGGGGCGCCCGCGAAGCCTCGCCCCTCTCTCCCAAGTCGCCGGCCTTGCCCGCGGCAGCCCGCGCCGCGCTGTACTTCCGGCAGTGGCGGCAAACCCAGAGGCGCCGCACCTGGCATGCCGCGGCGGCCAGGACTCGCCGCGACTCAAGGGGCATGCCGCTTTTTGGGGGTGGGTTTTTAGGGGAAACCAAAGGGAAAGCCACCCGTTTTAGGGGGCGGCTCCCTGCTTTAACACACACCTCTTTTTGAGGGTGCCGCTTTTGGGTGGTTTTTAGGGGAAACCAAAGGGAACACCACCCGTTTTAAGGGACAGCTCCATGTTTTTACACACTGCTTGTTTTTGAAAACGGGTTGGGCATCTCCCTTTTCATCCAAAGATGGGCGTGGTGCTTCAAGCAAACAACCATGGCGGTTTCCTCTTTCTTTCCTAGTCCTTCCTCATCTTTTTGGGGGCTTGCGGTGACTCCCATTGCCACGCTGCCTGCTGTCTTGTTTCGACAGATCGAACAAAACGCGAAACCACGGCAGAGGCGCCCGGGCCCGCGTCCTTTACCCAACTCCTTCCCGGCCTTGCTCACGTCCGGCGGGTACTGCTCGATATGCGCAGGGCACAGCTTTGTCCCGCCTGGGTCAGGCCCAAACTTGCTCCAAATTAATGGCTTAGATTTGGGGCTTGGGGGTTAGAGGGGACGCTTCCCATTTGGGTGTCAAAGAGTTCAAATCCCCAAACCACCGATCCAAATCGCCAATGAAGGGTTACATATCCGATTCATTGCGGCTTGAACGCGGCCCTAAAAAAAGAAAAAGACAAGGGGGAGCGCTTTGCCATGCAATCCCTTCACTCGCAATTGGAGGTGAGCCAGAGGCTTCCATAAGATGTCTGTCGATGGCGCTTCATGGATGAGGATCGAATATCCTATGCACACCTTCAGGATCAGTATGAAGGGAACTCTTCGAACCAAATGCTGGTGAGAAAGGCGCCAGCAGACCTTAGACCCGTTTCCCTCCCCCCTTTCAACCGGTCATGGAAGGCACGTTCAGTCGCGCCCTTCTTCGGGCGCCGTCCTTGCAATGCTTGGAGTGCGCCTTTAGAAGACCATCCCTTCAAAGACAAGCTTCTATCCTCGGATTACCAAAACTACGGAACTCATAAGACAAACGCAGGTGAAAGTACGCGGCATCATGCCAGGGATGATTCTGGAAGTGTCACTGGGGAGTCATGAAGGCTGAAGTCATTGAGGTGATTTCTGAGGTTGCCCTGCTGTAGAACCAACTGCTCAGATCTTGATTTCAGTCACCCTGCTGTCGACGATTGGTGTATTGTCTCGATGAAACAAGTCTCTGAATTCTGCTCACTTGTCATCTCAGCCTTCCTTGAACCACCATGAAACCGTTCAAACGTCGCCATCCCGGCGCTTCAATGGCATATGCCTTCAAAGCGATGTGGCAACTGCACAACCAAAACTGAAACTGGCCAGTTTCAAAAAACAACTTGAAACTCGACCCCTCCGACCATTGCTTCACCCTTGAGGTTTGGTCATCTGGCTATGGCTCCAAATTGAAGAGCTGGGGTTACGCGGGTTTGAGTCTTTGGTTCCATTTACCTTTTGGTGCCATTTTGGTACCCTTCCTAACTAACATGACACCTGTGGGAGGGTACCCGGAAGATCAATCTACTCTCCAAGGGGCCCTCTGTCAGAAGCCATGTTAGTGGAAGGGAGAGTACCACTTTTTTGAGCCAGCCATCTGCGAATCTGAGTCGAAAGTCGAGCAGCAGACTTGGCAGCTGCTGATGGCGCCCGCCTCGCACTCCTTGGCGAATTCATCCATCCCGCCGGTTCCACTCTTGATGGATCGATCTACGTCAGGCTAGTGGTAACTGGGCTGTCCTGAGATCCCCCGCTAAAAGTTTAACTATTCGCGGGTTAAACGGACATCCCACTAAACGGTAAATAATCTAGGGGCTGATTCTGTTTCCATTATTTTCAACCATCGTTCTTTCCAAAAACCGGATCCATTCCTGGGTTTCCGGAGGTGTTCTAGAAAGAAGGATCCCTGGAAAGAATGGGGAAGGTACCCCGAGAAATCACCATAAACAAACCAACAGAAAAAGAACTTACCGCCATAACTTTATTAATTTAAACCATTGACATACCCCGCCCCTTTACTGTAAGTTAGTAGGAACCTGATGACCATCCCTACCGCAAGTGCAAGGGGCATTTGGATATCCATGGCACACATCACCATCGGGTTCACACGGTTTTGTGTCAAGATGGTGAAAAACCAAAGTACTTCAGGAAATCAAGTACCTGACTGGGCGGTTTAATTTGCCGGGCAGCCCATCACACTTCAAAAAAGAATCAAAGGCAGTTGTTTCAAAGTTTTGGGTTACCGACTGGCATCAACCCGTCGTGGTCACTACAAGCCACAATGAGCCAATTCCCCAAAAACCACGAGAAGAAACCTCGAAAGTGAGCGTTCATTCTCAGATGAGTATACCCACCAAGCGTGCTTATGCTTACAACTGGTGATGTTCCTTTCCCATTATTCAAGCGTTCGCTCCAAACATGCTGGAGCACCAGATGCCATTGATGTACGTAGCTGCATCCGTCCAAAACAGTGCCTGATTTTGAATCATTGGTTACGGCAACACACACATGCCTTTTGTGGCTACGGAAATATCCATTCCACAGTGCAGATCCCGCATTTTGGCCTGTCGAGCGCCAGATGGAACTGTATCATATGCCACACGTTACATAAGTGTTGAGGACGCTGTGGCTCCAAAGATTGTTGCGTCTGTTTCGTTTTGGGTTTTTGTTGCTTGCAACACGAACCACAACCCCCCAACTCACCAACTCTCTCACCCCCAAAACCAACCGGCCCATAGGTGTCCTTTTAGGGGAAATAGATGGCCCTGGTGGATGATTAAACCACCAAAGGAATCGCCATCTATGTTTCGACCAAAACAACCAAAAAGGAGGACACCTATGAACCAGCCGTGGAAAAAAACAAACCCCCAAGTCCCCCAACCCCCCAACTCCCCCAACCCCCCACCCCCCCAACCCACCAGCCACTTTGGCCTGGCCCAGGCGCCAGGCACTGCGCCCAACTCTCCTCCACCGTGGCGTGGCGCCCGTCCCTCAGCGCCTTCTGCCGCAGCACCGTGCCCCGCTCCTCACGCTGCTGCCTGCAGATCGCTCCATTCGCGCGGATCGGTCCATTCGCGCGGATGGATCGACGATCGACCCCAGGGAGTCCCAAAGGGAGGAAGTTGCAAAGTTGGTGGGGGGGGGGGCCCAAGACATCAGGGTCTGGATCTTGGCTGCGGATCCTTTGACATCTGGGGATTGATGTCGGCCAACGACTGCACTGAGGGCGTCCTTGCCATGTGTCGAAACAGGGGATCTCAAAATGGGCGGCTTTCCTTTTGGCTGGCCTTTCTCAGCAAGGCGAAAATGGTGAAAAGGGAACCGTCAAAAAAACACACGCACACACACACACACACAATTCAATTGGGCCCGAGTCGGTCCCTTTTTTCAGGAGAAACGGAAAGGAGGAGGTGTTCTTTTAACAGGAGCAGTTCTGGCATGTTCAAACCAGGGGTCGGGGAAGCCCAAGCGGTTGCTCCCTATCTTGCGGTTGCTTTCCCGACAACGGATATGGGGAAGGAGGCGGGGCTGCCAAGATGCGATTTCTAAGAACCTCACCCTACCAAAAGGCAACTCATTTGAGATGGCAACCAAAGGATGATGCTTGAGTCACTCAAAAAGGTTAAATCTCCAAAAAGTGGAAAGAAAGCATGTGGCTAATTGCCGCATGCCAAGATGTGGTCCAGGCTCAGCATTGAGACCCGGAAACGTCCCGAAGGCACATGCCACTAGGCGTCTGCAAGCCGGGACTGTCTCATGGGGCAACCCAGCAGTTCGGGGCTGAAATCAACTCCCCTTGCGCCTGATCTGTTCAGCCGATGGGAGGACAGCTATGGCCCTCCATTTGCTTAAGCCCCCTGGAAAAAAATAATAATAATAAAATCCAGTAGTGATGGATTCCCTTTAAAACCAACAGGGGAAAATACAAAAATATTCTAAACCAAATGGAAGTGGCCACTTTTAAGCCCGGCAACCGCCACCCGCTGGCCTGCAGCCCTGGCGGACAGAACGGGGGAGGGTCCTGTGATGTGCTGTGCTGGCTTGTGGTGTCAGGCAGCTGTGCCAAAGCACATGGCCTCCCCCAGTCGGAAAGTAGTGAAAATTGTGTGTGTGTGTGTGTTTCATTTTAAGCCCCCTTTGAAAAGGCGTCCAGTTCTCCGATGCCAAACGATGCACGCTGCCAAGCTTCTGCAACTCTCTCCTGCCCTTCGGGCAGACCCAAACAAGGCCTGACTGATCTGATCGGATGGACCAAGTCGGCCAAGGCTCAGGCATGAACACAAGGGATGCTCAAGCGGTTTCACAGATTGGAGGAACCCAGGGGTCCTCAAAGCAGCAAGCTGGTGGAGGCTATGAATCGGTTGGCATATGCAAATCTGGCTCGCCTGGCTTCCCAAAGGATGGCTTGTTCTTTTTTCCCAGCCAAAACTATCTTCGGTCAACTCCAAAATCGTTGTAGTGTGGCTTGGCATTGCGTTCTTCTTCCCAATTCCCTGCCCCTCCCCCCCTCCAAGCTCTCAAAAATCAGCTCCCCGCAAGCAACAAAGGCACATGGAACTTCCAGAAAGGGAACTTGCCAAGAGAACCGACTGATGTTTCTCTTGGGGCCAGGCATCTGCGTGGACCGCCTTTCCCAACGTAACGCCAAACCAGCACCAAACCAGGGATCGCACCAAACCAGCACCAAGCACATGCCAAGCGGGAAATCACAGCGAGAAGCACTCGGGTGGGTGGCAGCAGCATTGCAAAAAAAAAACGCCACGCAGGAGAACAGACGAAAGCAAAGAAAAGCAAACGCCAACTGGGAGTCTCTCAAAAATGTTTTGCCCTCCCTTTGGGTTGGTATGTAAACGGACACCAAAAGGAAGGCAAACCTGATTCTCAAACAGAGTCTGACAACATGCCCAAAATCGGAGGACTACCCTTTTGCTGTTTTCTTCTGGGAACCATCTCTCCAACAAAAACAACCTGGGTTGCTGAGCACCCTAAGCCCCAGACTCTTCGCCCACGCCCGCCGCTGTCTAGCACCCTCAGCCCCAGACTCGCCCACGCCTTGTGCTCCTCCACGATGCTCTCGGCTTGCGGGAGGCAAGACACACAAACGCAGCGCCCCTCTGCCTGCGACGGGCCGCGAGCGCCCGGTTTTTTTGCCTCGAGCGGCCGGCAAACCGCAATGAAAGCCAAAAGGAAAACCGGTGGATTCTGTGGATTGGGTGTCTTTAGGTCGGTTTGGTCTGCTGCTTTCGGCTTTTCGCCCTTGGGTTGGTGTGAAGGGAGACCTCAAATCCGAAATGGGCTTGTCTAAAACAATGGCAAGCCCCCAACCTGGGGGCTTGGTTTCTGTTGCCTATTGATAACACAAACAACAACAGGTTCGCGCCGCGGCAACAAGTTGGGCCCCAGCCCGACGAATACACGGGGAGGGGAGGCCGAAACAAGCAGCAAGTTCTTTTGACCACCTCATGTCCATTGTCCATCCCTCGAAGCAGCTCGGCCACATCCCGCAAACATGCAATGACAACAGCTTCCGGTGCCTTTGAAAGAGCGTCCAACGCAGACCCCCTGCTTAAAGTCCTAAAAGTTAGTGGGTTAAATAGAAACCCCCACTAAACTCTAAAATTCTAAACACCCAAGGGAATGGCTGGGAACCGCCAACAAAGAATGGCCTGAAAAGTTGACACATAAAAATCACAACCCGCCCCTCTGCCGAATCAATCGCATCGGGTGTTTAGGGGAGAGAGGAGGCGCTGCCGGTCAGGAGCCTCCTCGGCTACTTTTGCTCGTGTCTCAAATGGTTCTTTCCTTGAGGTACCTCTTTTTAGTCTGTTATAAAAGGAGACTAAAAGAAAAACCACCGTTTTGCGGGGTCCCCTAAACAAAGGCCATGCCCAAAGGGGACACCCCTCCTAAATAGTGGTTATCCTTTTCGGTCCCTTCCTTTTTTTTGAGCAGTCGCACGTTTCGGAAATTTCTGCCGAAGCCGAAGGTTGCTTATGGGCGACTAACTTGGCAAAAATAGGAAGGTGTACTGGGTGGGGGCTACACCTTGCGACATGGCAAATAACTGGATTCTAGGGTTTCGTTTTAATATCTGCCGCGGGCGTCTTCATTCTTGAAGAAAGAGGAAGGTGATTCCCGCTCCGACCACATTCCACAGGTCTTCCGCTCTCCCTACCGTTTCGTTGAAAGCTCCTGCCTGCAAGGCGCCCGGAGGAAAGTCGAAGGGCCCCGCGTGGTCGGAGCAGAAGCTTTGGTGGCAGATGACGCAGGACTCGCGGGGTGGAAGGACGAGGCGAGTGGCCCGGTTCGCGCAAGTCCCAGGCAACTGAGGTCTCAAACAATGCATTCTTGGTTGACGTTGGAAGGGGAGCAAAATTTCCACAATAAGCAAAAATATAGAATGTTTCCCAACAACAACCATGTATTGTTGGACGGCTTCGGGCCCGAAAGAGTGTCGAAACAACAACTTGAAAGCAACAACCTGGTGTTGACCAAGTCGGCCACCAATCTTTCTGGCAGCCAATGAACATCTCTCGGCACGCCATCTCTGGCATTGTGACATTAGGTCCATTAATGGGATATGGCCAGGATTTTTGATTAAGGACCCTCTGGTGGACATAATTTAGGTGCTGATTCATGTCCACCAACCACTTTCCAGAAAGTTCCTCATTTAAAGTCATGGCCAAATTGACGGGAGGCAGAACAAACAAGGCCCTGGTCAGCACCAATGAGCTGTGGCCAGGTGCGCATTATGGTGGAACCGGAACCATAAAACGAGACCTGCGGAGGGAACGTGCAACCAATGACAGCGCACCCCTGATTCCTTGCTTGAACATGTCTCCAAAATGGTGGCCCGAGACTTGTCGTGCTTTGCTTGCGTCCCTTTGTTCGCCATCCATTCTAAGCCGCATGCGACAGTGTGTACGGGCAACACATTGGGCAGAACACGAGGCAGGAACACTCAACATGAATTGCGGTTACCACCTGGGGGTGCTTGTTGAGGGTCCCCGGGTACCCTTTTCACCTTGGTTGAAAGGTAAAGCAAAAGGTTTGCAAACAACACGGATCCCCAGTTTGACACACCCTCACCTAGTGAAAATTGCCAAAGGGTCTTTGTCTCTCTCAAGGGCAATGGCTATATTTCACAAGCTGAACACATCCGAACTCGAGGCAATGGAGGCCTCTGAACAAAACATTTCACCAGGCACCCTTTGTTGGACATCATTTAGGTGGGGATTCACATCAACCACTTTTAAGGCAGCTCCGTCTTGAGATTCCTAGCCATGTCTTCTTGTGGGGAACCACCTTGCTTTGCGGAGAAGGTCCATCTGGCAACCGTCTCGGTGCATCACTTTTGCTCCCGGAAGGACTCGCAAAGATTTGTTTGGTTGCTGGAGCTCTTTGTCCTCAGGGACATTAGACACCAAGTGGGTATGGGTCATAATTAAATCATTAAACCAACGCTTGCAAGAAGCTGATGGGACGTGCCTGCAAGAACAAGTTCTGGAAGAAGCCCTTGATGTTCTCATCCGCCTGAAGTTGGTCACCGCTGCATCATGGGTTCGGGGAAAAAGAAAACACTACAGTAGAGCTCTCGCACCTCACGCTTGAAGAGAGAGCCGGGTGCGACCGAACCTGTGCTAGTTTGCAAGCTTTGGCCAAAATGGTCTGAATCGTTTTGAACGTAGGCACATATTCACATATGACGCCGGCACTTCCAGTACCTCTGAGTCTGAATTGGCCAGGTGTGGAGATGTGGAGAACTATGGTGGCTGTTGTCCAGCTTGTTGCTCTGGCGCTTTGCAGGACTGCAAAGAACCTGCAGGAGAACATTCTTGGACAACAAACACGTCAAGTGTTCGCGAGAATCTCTGGGGGCCGGGGGGGGGGAACGGGTTTGACCATTGGTCGTCTTTTGCGCCGCCGGTACACGGGAGCTTCAAGTTTATCGCAGGTTTTGCCACATACAGTTACGCATCTGTCTGACACTTTGTTCGATCAGTCTGGCATGTTTCCATTTTTTGGAGGCAGCCGGGAAACTTCGCCAAAATGAACCCAAAAGGCCCCCCCACACACACACACACACACACACACACACACACACACACACACACACACACACACACACACACACACACACACACACACACACACACACACACACACACACACACACACACACACACACACACACACACACACACACACACACACGCAATTGCTACTACGTGCAAGCCCGCTTGTCGTGACCTCTAAATAGGGGACCCCCCAAAAAATGATAGTTGTCCTTTTGGTTTCCCTTGAAAACTTCAATCCATCCACAGAGGGGTACCCTGAAAAATCGCATCCATGCGTCTGCCTCAACGGAAAAGCGAGCAACCCTATTTTCCTCCCTGGGCCCTTGCCTGATGCCCGGCGCAGGCCGCACATTGATTCCTCCATCGGCCCTGGCCGCTAAGGCTGCATCTCTCAACGGCAATTGGTCCTCCAGTAGAGAGGTTAGAGTAAGGGTACCCTTTTTGCTGTAGTCAATTTTAGTTGGGGAACCTTCCCCAAAAAGAGGGTAAAAGGGCACTACTGCAAAATCTAGGTTTGTGTCTGGACCCCCTGTCTCTTACCCAAAAAAAGGGGCACCCCCGCAGCAGGGTGTGTACGTCGATTCGAGGGCAGCTCATTCTCAACAGGAACCAATCCAACTGCTTCCCTTTCGAGACAACCCTAACTTGAAGCTCCCACTGGCGTTGAGTGCAGGGCAAGCCTCCATTGCGAAAGGGTTGAACGCCCTTTGCCGGTTTAGGGACCTCCAAATGAGAATATCGCCAAATCGACCCTGGACTATTGGACCAGGAACACGACCTTTGCCAGGTTCACCTGCCGACCCTTCCTCTCACGTCAGCTAAAACTGAAACTAGATGTTGAAATCTGTTCAAAGGCTAGCAATATGAAAAATGCCAGACCATTGCAGACTGCGACACAAAACCGCGACAATCAAACAGCATCTATCTCAGGCATCGGGCACGAGGATCCAACGACGTGCCAGCATCCTTCTAACCGCTTCCCCCAAAAGGGATCCCATGATTTGTTTGGTAAAGGCATGAGAATCCGATTGCGGCATGGGGAGGGGTCCGAACGGGGACTTCTGACATCCAGGAACGACAACTGCTGCGCCTGTAAAAACTAAGCTCAAAGCGAAAGGAGCTCGGCCAGAAGGGCGGGGCTGTCCAACAAAAACATGACACAATCCCATCTCCTCCCAAAATGACAAGGGGAAAAACATGACACCCCCCGATGAGATGTACCATATTCGGGCCAATGCAATCCAACGGGTCATGATGCGGAGGTGGCAACATACACGGGGCAGGCAGCCAAAATGGCGAGCTTATGTTGGGATAACCCCCGCGTGAAGTTCGCCCCAGACTTGTCTCGCAAGTTGCGGGAGAGCCGCATGAAGGCCCTTTGAGACCCTTGGGGCTTGTGGATCAAGGGTCAAGAGACAGCTGTTCGGTACCTGGCCGAAACCGGCCGAGTGCGAGATCCGGCTCGGAACTGCGCTTGAAAGGAAACTGGGGAAACTGTGGGTTGCTCCTTCCCTTTTTGAGCAAAACGCCCGACCTTTTGCAGGTTTGCTGGAAAAGCCTTTGCACTTGCAAATGGTCTCACTATGTCTCATTGCGGGGCTCAGGTCACACCGAAGACCCATGAAATGTGGAACCAAAATCGCACCAATCCTTTGTTTCACTACTCTCTCTGTAAAAACCATGATCAATCTACAACTCGTGGCCTTTGAAGCTTTAACTCATGGCCCACTTACAACTACAGTCTTTAGACCTCCCAGGGTGTGACCCCCAAAAAAAGGCACTGACATCCAGCTCGTCCCCTCCCCCACCAGTCCAGCAGCTTCTGCACGGAGGAGCGGCCTTGGCGCGCGCGAAGTGGCCACCAGGGAAACCAAAGAACCCTCACTTTTTGGAAGGGGAAGCAGCTGGGCAAACATACACTCGGTTGCTTCCTGCTCCCCTGCTAAAAGTTTAACTTTTGAGTGGTTTAATGAAAAAAAGCCTATTAGTTGGCAAAAAGTTAAAGTCCTACATCCAAGCAACATGGAAGCAGCTGGGCAAACATACAGTAACATGCAACTCAAACACCAAGAAAGACCTGGGACTTCTTTGGCGGATGTTCCCCACAAACCGTGGCCGATCCGACTTGGCAAATTTTGGAGCCAGCCTTGAACCCTTGGACCAAGGGGCTCTTGTCCAGGCGGCTCTCCGGCTGGCTGCTCTCCGGCTGGCTGCTCTCCGGCTGGCTGCTCTCCGGCTGGCTGCTCTCCGGCTGGCTGCTCTCCGGCTGGCTGTTCTCCCGGAGGTCGTCGCCGTCGCTCGGCCTCCCATCCGGCAGGAAGGACAGCTCCTCGCTCCTGGCGAAACGCCGGTTTCCGCACCGCAGGCGTTTCCGTGTCCCAGCGGGCGAACGTCAAAGTCTCAAGGAGGTGACAAGTGAAGTTGCACATTGCTTCTCTGGACTCTCAGTTCAACAACCAAGAAACAGAAACACACCGAAGTCTTCACGTGGCGCTTCCGAAACCCAATCCCGTCCTGGCAATGGAGCCAGAACCTGGTCTGGACGCTTTTAGGCATGCACCAAAATTCCAACAAAAAGCTGGAAGCCTGCACACCCAGATCCATCCTTTGGCTATCCTTTGGCTATCCTTTGGCTATTTGGTTGGCTATTTGTTTGGCTATCCTTTGGCAGTGGGTACACCCAGAGCGGTACATAACAAGAGTGCTTCGCAAGAAAGGTCTGCCAAGCCTGTCGCTTGCCAGAGCCTTTTGGCGGGAGCATGAATGGGGGCAAACTCTGGGAATCCCACCATGGGTCAAGGTCCAACCGCTCCCCAGCTGATGAAAAGCCCAAAAGGGGTTTTTCAAACAGATGGTTCCTTCTTGGGTTCCCTTGAAATGCCATCCAAATCCATCCAGACTCAAGTCCGAGTGAAATGCGGATTGGGGGGGGTTGTCAAAAGATCACAGGTCGGCCAACGGGGCAATGCCCAACTGGGCCAGTCCCAAACACCTGTCTGGATGAAACATACTGACCAAACACAGAACTCGGGCGATTCGACTGAGCGGCTGGGAGGGCAATGACTCCCAGCCCCATGGCAGTCTTTCCATCAACCCTTCAAGTGAAGCGAACAGGATTAAAAAAAAAAAAAACTCAGTTGACTACTACAAAAAAGGAGAAGAAAAAAAGGAGAAAGAAAGACACGAAAACCAGCACGCGAGTTTCGCCCATCCCAAAGCTGCGAGCAGCACGTCTTTGGGCTCCGAGCTCTCAAACAGCCGGCGCCAGGCCGCCATGGGCGCAGGCGCGGAGGGCCGCCGGGAGGGGCGGGTTTGGGCTGAGGGATGGGGGTTGGCTTAGGGTTGGCTTAGGGTTGGGGCTTGGGGGGGGGCTTGGGGTTGGCTTGGGGGGCTTTTGGGGGGGGCTTGGGGTTGGCTTGGGGCTGCTGCACTCAAAGACCCATGCCGCGCTTCAATGGGTGTCCTGGCACTTGCTGAGCTGCATTCATGGACTCATCAACGGAAGCCCAGGTCAAGGGGGGATTCATAGAGTCGCTGGGCAATACGGGTGTCTCATCGGAGAAGTGTTCAACTGGGTGGTTCCAAAGTGGAATCCCCAACAAGATCACAGATCCGTACATGATCCTCCTAGATAGCGAAGTTGCTGCCTTTTGTTCAGTCACTGTTGCTGGTGTTTGGGCGGTAAAGTGCATGAGGAAAAACAAAAAAACCGCCACCTAGGGATCCAGGCTGTGTCCAAGTCGGGTTCTGTTCCTTCCCGGCGACGCCGCTTCCGGCTCGATGGCTTTGGCCAAAAAGAGGGCGACAGCTCACAGACCTGTTTCCGGCGTCCAAACCCGGGCTGGTCCTCCACCGGTAAAGCCAATCCCGTTGAGAGTTGCTGGGAAAATGGCCATTGGGTGCAGGTCAAGCGGAGTCGCTGAACGAACAGCTTGATACACGGCCCTGATCTCGGCATCGTACTCTGCCGGCTTGCTGTCCCTAAGGCATGCATGGGACATGCCGAATGTCAGGGCCGGTGGCTCCTTGCGAGCCATTGCCCAAGGCCTCAACTCCTTGAGAATCGCTTCCCCACGCTCCGATCGCAGCGGCTGTGTTGGCTGGTGTAGTGCTTTCCTCTGAGAATGGGCGGAGAAAATGTCCCTAGAGTCCAGAGTGCTTGCGATTTGAAGCAAGTCGTCTTGACTTACTCTGGGAAACACAGAGACGGCTCTCCAACAAGAAACGTGAAAAGCTGCCGTACAACAGCTGCCGAAGGATTCTTGGAAGAGGTGTGTCTAGGGAACTGGAAAACATGTGTGGGTCAATGCAACGCGTTACGTCTTTCACTTGACCACAAGCCTTCGAGGAAGAAATGATACGATGGCCTCCTCACAGGAATCCAGCAGACTATGCATCTACTCCTCATGGGTCAAGTGCTTTGTGAAGTTTCCGGGCCACCAAGGCTCCAAAGTCAAAAAGCAGATCAACTGCTTCGGCTAAACTGGACTCCAAACAGCAAGCCACGCCGCAAGCAAGGCAGCCAACCAGCAAGCAAGCAAGCAAGCCGCAAGTCAGCATTTTGATCCTGGCTCTCGATGGGCGAGGATCGCCATGCACGGTTGAAGCGACAATTATGGGGTACAAATCAGTGGGGCTGATGAGACCATTTGCATGGCCCCTACAACATTCATTCCCAAATCCACCACTCATTTCTGGGCGACTTGCGTCTGCTTGGAACACCAAGCTTACTTTTTGCCCGCTTCAATTTGAGGGACTAGAATTGCACCGCAATACAGAATGTGTACCCTCCCCAAGGCGAAACCTAGAAGTTACCAGCTAAGAGGAACTTGCTCTTCCCATATCAGGTGGGAGCTGGAATCGGAATCGCCGGGAGAGTAGAAAAGCCGCGTTTCTTGCAAGAGGCAGGGCCCCATCACGAACTACAGCTCCTCAGAAGAGTCTTCCTCGACCAGCGACCTTCAGCGACCCGAGGGAAGCGCGGGCTTTGATCACTGTGCACCAAGAACCAAATCGGTGTATTTTTAAGGTTACCCTTTTTAGCATTGTGTTCAAGGGAAACCAAGGTGACACCCATTTGAGGGTTGCCTGAAAAGAAAGACAGATCCAAATAGGCGTGAAATCAGGGCTTCAAAGAAGGAAAGAAGGATCTTCTTGACAGGTGGATCACCACCTGGCTGCACATCAAATAGATAACTTACTCCCAACCTTTGATTGCAAAAAACAGATTTGTCTTCAAACATATTGCCCCAAACAAAGTCAGCCTGTTGCCAAGAAAATGAACAACTCACACATGTTTGTGCTCAAGGTATCCGACATGTTCCGTGGAAGCTCTTTTTGGCCAACAGCAACATGGTTGTTCCTAGTTGTTCCGTCCGTTCCCCAAACCCCCAATCGAAACCACCAAACGAGGACTTGACCCCATAGGTGCTTCACAGAAAGGCCCCATGTCTTGATTGAATAAACCCAGAATGCTTCTTTCCAATGGGTCATTCTTTTTGAGGCCACCCTTTTCAGGATGGTTTGAATGGAAAACCACTGAGAAAAAACACGGGGCGGGGTTCCCTCTTCCAAGACGCAAATGGGTGCGTGGTTTCAGGGGGTCCTGAAGGGCAAGGCAACCTGTAACCTATTGGGCCTTCCGGAGACATGCATACACGCAGCGTCATATGCATCCTTTTGGGGGAAATAGCCGGGGCCCTGGTAGATGATTCAACCACCCGGCAAACCAGGAATCGCCCTCTATGTTTCAACCAAAACCACCAAAAAGGACCTCTTCTCTTTAAAGAAAAAACAAATCTAGTGTTTTGCGTGTTGTTTTGTTTTTTTTTTTTACCTACATGCAGCTTTTCCATACACCTCGGGGCAGATGTCCACGAGCCACGCCTGCTTTCTTGCGCCGAGCGGCAGGCGCCCGAAGATCTCGGGCTCCGGGTGTCGCAGCAGGTCCAGCAGGAAGTCCTCCGAACGCGGAGGGCACGCACGAAGCCTAGGTTTCAAACCACCATTAAAACAATGGTTGGGATCATATGGGTATGGGCCAAAATAAACCCACCAGATATTGGACCGCAGGCTTTAAGTCTTTGGCTCCATTTATCAGTGCAAGCCATTTTGGGTACGCATTTTTGACCCACAGCCATATAACCACCATTTTTTACCGTTCAGGATTGTCATCCAAATTGGGTCAACCTTTCTTTTCATAGGGGTTCAACCCTAGGGCTAAGCGGCGACTTCAAACAGTATGCAAGCAAGGCACGAGTGCGGCTACACGTGAGATTTCCCAGGGGCCTTTTTTTGGGGGTGTTGTGCCAGTTTGCATGTTACTCACCGTATATAAACGGTCCGAACCTAAATATGCCCTTGACGGATATATTTAACTCAACATGTCCGGGGTTCCCGCTATAGCGACGGGGATTTTCTCTAAGCCGAAGCTTCCTTGAATCCAGCATGTTCTGAGTGATGAGAAGCAAACTTTGAGATCCCACTGCAAGAAAGCTGGACACGTTCGAGGTTGTTCCATCTTGCGCAACTACGGAAAACGCGATAGTATCAGTGCAGGGCGAATGACCTTGTTGGTTTGGACACCTGACCTCGGTTTTGATAGCTAGATTGACTTCTTGCTGTCGCTACTCAATTTCTGAGATCTTTACACGTTCGAGGATTGAATGGCAAGCCAACCCCCACCATGTGATGTAAAGAACAAAAAAGGCGGATATCCGCACCCTCATGCGCATCCAACTTTCTAGGGGGGCCCCTTAGAGATTTCTTGAGCCTTCGGAGGTCCAAAACAAGGGGAAAACTCGGACTTCGCCAGGTCTGAGTCCACGCGGCTAACCGGGCCGCGCAAGGTCAGATGCCTTGCGAACGACTCTGTCGCGCAGGGTTGGCCGAGTGAAGAACGATCCCAGAGACCGGCTACCGTCACTTTGTTTCCTCAGGAATGCAAAGCCATCCTCCCTAGCCAGGAGCAATGTCAGCTCGATCAAGCTAAGGGGCCAAAATCTAACGAGTCAAAATCTCAAACGCAGATCTGCTTCACAAGCCACTGTACCAAGAAAAGAGGCGACCGGGTGAGCTCCTCGCAGTGTTCAATTGATGGGAAGGAGGGCAGGCAGACTGACCAACATCGTCAACATCCGATGGACGTGAGACCAATGTGGTGCGCCAAACAGAAGCATCTGTTGTCGCCCGATCTTGTTGAATGCCTTCACGACATCGGTGGAAAGACCACACAAGTCACTGCTTTGCTGCAGCAAAGCCTCAACTTGCGCCTGAAGGCAGATCCAGACTTGGGCTGGGATGAAGCCGTAAGCACGCCCGTCAGATGTCGAAGTGCTTGGCAAGTCAGGAAGCGCAACATCTAGGCCCCCTAAGTTGGACCTGGTCGTCAACTTTGTCGTCGCCATGCGCTGCTGCTCGTGATCTGAAAGGTGCGACTGATCGCCTCCACATCTGGATAAAAACTTTTCGGTGAGGCATGAGTTGGAACCCGTCCAAGCTCTCCAGGAGAAGCGCTGCGGTGTCGGCCTGATAGCCGTTAAGCAGCCAGCGATCCCTGCACACAATATTTCCAGACAGTGATCAGGGCTTCTTTGGCAGTGAGCAGGGACTCTGAGCTCCAAGCCAGCCTGCAGTGATAATATACAAAAAAAGTGTATCCTCACAATGGATGGTGCCCCCAGTACGACTGTGTGGAGATCGATGTGGCGAAGCGCCTCAAACCAGGTCGTTGCCTTCGTGGATGAGGCGGATTGATTTGGCCTGTGTCGGGGTCAAGGCATTGACCTCTGAAGATTCATCCTCTGCCGTGGCCCCATTTGACATTGATGCGTTCAGCGAGGAGCTTCAACGCCGTGGGAGACCCAGGAGAGCAGCCCTGATGAATAAGGCGAGCCGCATCCAAATGGTTGAGGTTCGTCTTCAACACCTGGCTATTCATATTGCGCGAGCATGTGGTTCATAGCCAGCTGGTTACTGTCGACGCTCAGCACGGTCTGGCCGTTTTTAGGAAACCCGTGCCGATGCCCATTCCACCAAATCCTGCGCATAGCTCAATGATCTGGGGAGATACCTTGTGTGGCTCAAAGCCTGATCTACGAAACCACGTGTCCAGGGAGAAGGCCAGGCGGAGCAGATCGGTGTTCGACTGAACCTGCAGGTGATAAAAGGAAAAGCGATCGGGCATCACACACATCCCATCACCGATCATGATCTCCACCTCGCTCCTGATGGTCGAGGATCCCCAAGCCCGAGAGAGTGCCATCAGGCACCTGAGGGATCTCGTGGACACCATGCACCCGAGTGCCAGCGCTGGGCCTGCACTTCCCGAAAATCCGCTCAACCACGCGACTCGGCTCCACCCTGCTCTGGAAGGGCTTGGGCCAGGAGCTCCTGTCTCCCTTAAAGCCGCCCCGCAACTCAAAAAAGGCGGCCCTCAAAAACCATCACCGCAAATCAAGCCATGGCCAGGAGAAAAAAGGAAAACCCTCGCCCAACTCAAGCCGCGCGCAAAATCGCTCGAAAACGAGCTTGGCTCATCGGCTCGTCGGCTCATCGGCTCATCGGGGCCTCCGAAACGTGGATGCCGCTCGCGTCCAACTTGCTGTGGAAGTCGGAGTTCCAAAACCTGGGCCCGGCCACTCCTTCGTTCTCTTTCATAGCAGCAATGAAAGAAAACCGGGTCCAGTGAAATCGATCACGTCTTGTTGCTTTTCTTGGGCAATCACTTCGGCCAATGGAAGCAACAAGCAGCGGGTGAAAGTAGATGGCACCCTTCCCAGATGTGGGCAATCAAAGGGGATGAAACTAAGAGCTGGAATGGTGCCGACGTTCAGCCAACTGCAAGCAAATGGCTCAAGAGTGCTGTGCATGGTTGTAAAAACCACGCCGACCGGCGGGCGCAAGTTGATATGTATCCATTCGAACAGGTGTTCTCACAGATGTTTGGTCCGTCCGCACGGCTTCCCCAAGCCCCAGATTCTTCTCAGAACCTTGGGAACGCCGTGGCAACTGGCCAACAGTCGTTGCAATCGGCAGACCCGGTCGGTTTAGCTTCAGGGTTGTCTCAAAGGTAGGGGAACCCCTAAATGGACGGCTTCCTCTTGGTTTCCCCTTAACAAACGACATGTTTGCTTGAAGCATAGCCTTGGCAAATAACGGGTCATGTGCAAGCAAGAAAGGAAACTATAGGGAGGCAACTGGCTTGGGCTCGTTGGAGCTCGCTGGACGCATGAAAGCGGCATCCGCAGTTTGAAACAAAGCAAGTTTGGAACTGGCCAGTCCCTGGGTGCTTTAAACGAGGATGCCAACTTTCCGAGAAAGGATGGCGGGTCCCGGTTTTGGAACTCGCCGGTCCAGCCTCTCACGAAAAGGCAGGGTTTCCGGGGGCCGCCTTTTCCCAGCAAAACAACCGATAAGGTCTCGGGCGACCTTTTTTTTCCAAGAAAGGAGGGCAGCTCCACGTGCATCATCTCCTTTTTTGGAGACAGACTTTGGCTAGCCCTCCCTCGCATTCTCCATCCCCACCCCAATCCCCACTCTGCACCACCCACAAGGAGTGCGTCCAAAGCGACACACGGAAAAGCATGACAGGGTGTAGGCTTCACCAGACCAAATCCACACACACACACACACATGTGCTTGCGCTGTTTGGCTCTGGTGGAAACAGCAGCTGACAGTACCACACTTCACGATACCCGCATGCCAAGAAGTCCAGTTGATTTCTTCGCAGGGTGACGGGAACTGTGCAGTTCGCCCCAAATCCAATAGGGAATCCAAAAACCAGATGTTCAACAGGGTCCTTTGAATAGGGGCTTCAAACTTTGAAAATGGCCCCAAGTGGTTCTTGTTGATATCTTCTCAAACATCTTCCCTAACTCACACCTCCCCATTGGTTCGCCAAGGAACGGTCCCAGACCGATTCCTCCCACCTAACTCGCACCCCTCCCCAATCTTCCAATTGTTAGCCAAGGAACAGCTGCATGGGCAGCGGAACCCGCCACACCAGCCGCGCGCCATTTTCAAGGCCCGCCAGTTTGAACAAGGCCGCAGGCTGAAAGGCATTGGCCTCCTGCAGCTGAAACTCGTCGAAGACCACCTGAGAAATAAAATCTCTCGCCCACCGGTTTGGAGATGCGGCCGTTTCCTGTTCTCTAGGGGTTGATTCCTTGTCCATTCTTTTCAACCATCGTTCTTTCCAAAAACCGGATCCGTTTTTCCTGGGCTTCCGCAGGTTTTCTAGAAATAAGGATCCCTGGAAAGAATTTGGGAAGGTACCCCTAGATTTTCAGGAAATGGACACTGAAGGGTGGACATGGATTTGGATGTAGGTCCTTTGATGAGTGCTCGTTAAATTCATAGAGCTGGGTAGTTGGAAATAGGGACACACACACACACAGAGTTAATACTTGGGAACAAACAGTGGCCAAACTTGTGGCCAGCCTGCAGAAACTTGTTCCTGCATATGGTCGAGATACCAGTTTGCGAGGAGCATTTGAGCTGTTTTGCCGCTTGGAAGGCATGAAGGAACTTCCCCAGGCTTCCAAGACGGATTTGTGTGGCCACGAACCGCTGGGGACCCAACGCGTCTCGGCTTTCGCCTGGACATGGACACATCCATTTAGACATGGAAAAACACGCGGTCAGTCGGTCCCCCACAAAGTGCCCTCTTTCTGGTTCATGACTGCCGTTTTCGGTGTTACGTTCCGGTAGACTCGAAACGACCAAACATGTGGGCTGGCTTACTTGTTGTTCCTTCTCCCGGAGCCTAAGTGTCGTCCCTTGCGACGATCTTGTCTTTGGAGCATAGGTTTTGATGCAAGAGTTCAAAATCAACTGGCAAAATGGACCCCTGTGCTGAACGTTTACAAGCAACCCTTTTGTTTGACGCTGGAACATTTGATCATGCTTGCCAATGTAAATCAATGCGAAGTGCCGAAAGCAACAGTTTCTTGTCATGTCTCTCTTTCTCGGATCTTCCTATTGGAAACGTAGACATAACAAATTGAGATCGAGATGGCGATGCAGATGGCGATGCAAATGGGCCGTGCATCGATCAAGATGCTGTGTGCATTCCGAAGTGCAGTAAACAGCGCTGCTTGATTCAGTGGAGTTTGCTGCACATGGTTGCATCTGCCGACATTGAAAGTTCAATCTCCATGAGATTGATCTCAAAGGAGCAAGTATGTGTTGGTACAATTCGAGCAGCAAATACCAAGCTGCCGAGTACCCTGCAAACGGTACGCGGGGAAACCAAAAGAAAACAAACCCTCTTGGGGTTCCCTTCGACGCAAACCCAAATATGGGACTTCCGAAATGCGGCACGTCACTTCGACGAACTGGCTGCGAGTTCCAGGAACAGAATGGAGCCTTCTGGGGCCTTCCCTCGCGCACGAAGCGAAGGCCGCGAGCCCGTACACTCGATTCTCCACACCAAAAAACTCAAGTCGCAAAAGCGCCCCTGCAAGCCACATGCAGCGCCGACTGGGGGGGGGGGGGATGGCATGGACTACGAGTTCGGGCCCAAACCCCCCCAACAAAAATGTAATACCCTCAGCCACCACCCCCCCCCCAAAAAAAAAACAGCCACCGCGGCTTCCAAACAGTCCTCCCAACGTGTTCCTCCGGGGGTTCGTTTCGGGGGTTTGGTTCGGCAGAGGCCGAGGCACGCTGCCGTCCAGGGCGGAGAGCGACACCAGCGAGGAGGCCACCGGCAGCTTGACCTTTGGCGCAGTCAACACGGGCGCCTACTCGAAGAGGCAAAAAGTAATTACTTGGGTGTGTATGTGTGCTTCCCCTTCGGTTTTGTTTTCTTTCCTTTTCTTTTTTTTTGGGGGGGGGATTTTAATTTGCTACATACCAACTGGGCCCACCTACGTGCGACAATTGGCCCTTGTGTGAACCATTCGCTCGTTTCCCACAATTGGTCTTCCAGTAGAGAGCTTAGAATAAGGGTACCCTTTTGGCAAGAGGCGCAGTCTCGATTGACCATGCAGGTGAGAGAACCATGCCGCCCACATAAGGGTACCCGATTTTTTAATATATATATATATATATATATTTTGGATTTGTCTATTTTAGTAGGGCAACCCTCCCCCACTGGGCTGTGGGAAATGACCACTTGTATCACAGAAGTGGGGATAAACCCTTGATCCCACAACCCTGCTCCCCAAGAAAAGAAACGGCAAAAGGGCACGATCCTGGAAGACCTGGCCCAGGTCCCCCATGTGGGGCCCTGTGGTACACGCCCGGTCCGAGGGGCCGCGGCAGGCGCGACCTTCGCGACCGCCTCCAGGCCGAGCCCCGCCAAGGCGCCCCGCCCGCAGCGGTTGTCCAGGAACAGCCTCGGGGCTGCGCGCCCGATTTTGGAGGGCCGCGGATTCTGCCGAATTTCACCAAACTTCAGAAGCTGAAGCAAGAATTGGACCTCATGTGCGGTATAATGTTATACCCCAACCAGGGTTTTCTTTGGGGGGGGGGACTTCCAAAAAGGGTGAAAGGGCTGCACTGGGAACCTAGTTCCGAAGAAACAAGCACTCGCAAGTCGGCGTGTTTACTCTGCGCTACTCAACGAAATGCACTTCTGTGTCCGGCTGGCATATGCAAAATAATTTCAGAAGCTGAATCAAGAATTGGACCCCCCCCCAGGTGGGGGTTCCATTATTAGCTTGTCGAAAACAACTCATTCTCCGAAAGCCCTGTCTCCGAAGGGTGCACATGCGGAAAATCTTTGGGAGGCTCAGACACATGCAAGTGATTTCTGCATGCTGAACAGGCTCCAAAAATGTCTTGCCCATGTCAACCCACAGAAAAAATCGGCGCATCCAAAGTTGTAAGGCGGCTTCCAAACACACTGTATCCATTGCATCTTGGCACATGGTGGGGCCATATCCACTACACTGGTATGACTTGGATGTTCTGGGGCCCTTTTAACCTTTTAGCCAAGGCACACACACACACACAAAAACACCACACACACACATATACACACAAAGACCCGGACGCCCCCCATTTTCTCTTCCAGAAGTTTCGGTCGGGTGAAATCAGACACCTCCGGCCGGGGCCCCCGAAACCCCCCGAAACCCCCCTGGGGCCCCAGGCTCTTTGGCCACCACCCAAGTGCCCTGAGGACTCACCTCGATCTTGTGCGAGGAGTACCTGGGATCCAGGCCCTGTGTCTGCCTGCCTGCTTGTCTTTCTGCCTGTATATATATATATATATGTGTGTGTGTGCTCGCTGAGTGTTATAAATGCGCATATATATATATATATATAGTTACTTATTGACTTATTGAGTTCTTCAGTTGTTGATTTATCTAATGGATGTGTTTACTTATTTATTTATTTATGTATTTATTTGTTGGCTGATTTATTTATTTTATTTGTTTTTATTTGTACTAGTTATTCTGTATGCCTGCGGTCACACCCACCCTGACCCACTTCTTCCTTCACGTGTTGAAAGATGGGTCTGCGCAGCAAATGCACAGCAGACAATGAGCTTAGGCTGCATTGGGCTGGGCAGCAAATGCTTGACAGACGTGTTTCATACAGAAGAATCTTTACTCTGCGCTGTCTCCTTGCTTTCTCCAGCCCAACAAACCAGGACACTTTTTGCACAAACAGCACGCTGTTGCACGAACAGCACGCAGGCAAAAACGCCATTGCACAAACAACACATGTTTGAACAAGCAGCATGGGCTCAAACTGACGAGGACCCCAAGTGGCAGGATTGGATCTAGAAAAAACGGGAGACCAGAAGACGAGGTGAATACAGAGAGGCGGGGAGAGGCAAAGAGAGGCAGAGAAAGAGGAGAGGCGGGGAAAGACGAGGGAGAGATGCGAGTCCTCCTCCAGCAGTAAGCCAAAGAGCCACCGTAGAGTTCCGCAGGGTTGTGGGGTGGTGCTGGATCTTCGTTCGGGCTTCCGCCTGCATAACTTCCAGTTCCACCACCATACGTATTCATAGCTGACCAACAATAATGTGTAGTCAAGATGTGCCATTATCAATTATTGATTCATTTATTACTTAGTTACTGAGCTGTGCTTTATCTTGTTGTGTCTTCTTGTCTTCCCAACTGGGCTCCCCACAACAAGTCGCCCGACTGAAAGAAGACAAGTTCACTCTCTAGAGCTTGCCCAGAAACTCGGATCGTCCCCCCGCCCAAACCCAGGGAGCGAAGCGCATGCATGTACTGTTCCCAGCAAATCCCAGGCCGGCGCAGCACCCAGCTTGGCTGTGTGGGCGCACACGCGCGGTTTTTCAAGGCTAGATGGGGAGGGAAATCTTCAACCAAACTTCCCAAACCCTGCAAAACAACTGTATTTCTTGCAGCTCCCCAAGTTCCCCACAAATGAACAGAACCAACAAAAAAATGTAACCGCATGCAAAGAACACTGAGGAAACAGCCAAAGGCTGCAAGACACGACCCCCAGGGCCTTCGCCATCGTTGCCAAGCGGCAAAGCGCTGAAGCACTCCTCAAATCCCCGGCTTCGAAACGGGTTGAGCCATGCTTCAAAGCTCTCTGGGAACTGGCTTTGACGAGACGCAATGTGTGCGTGTGTGTGTGTCAAATTGCCAGACTCAAGAAATGGCGGTCTTTCTTTCGGATTCTCGAAAAAAAAAAAAAAAAAACACGCGGAACACCGCAAAACGGCTAAAACACCTCTCACAAGCAACTGGCACCAACGACGTTTCAACGCCGGGCGCGCCCCACGGCCATGAGTTGGACTGAAATGTCAAGGCCCCATAGCGAGCCTCATTTGTCGCAAGGGAAAAGGCTCTTCACGAGGAGTTCCTTTTGTTCCGCTCATTTTGTGGGCGCTCCGTTGTTCCCAAAAGGGGCAAGGGTAGACTCTACCTTGGCCCTTTCCCAACCCTTTCTTCCAGAACCCGGGAGGTTGATTTTGGGTCGTGCGGGAGAAAAACAAAAATGGGGGGGACCACCCATCCGTGTCCTGTTGGCTTCCTTTTGGAAAATCAACGGGGGAAGTATCCATACAATCTGGCCAAATTACTACAACTCCGCTGGAAAAAGAAACCCGGGCAAGGGACCCTCATCATGGAGCTCGCTCTACCCGGTGAGCTCATTGTAAGTTGTCTAGGCTTATAGGCAAGCTCCCAGATGTTGCGTCGACCCAGCAAACCAGGGTTAGGCCAGTCACGCTGCTTAGAAACGTTTAAGTCTACTGTTTGCTTCAACATCTTTTCGTTTCGGTTCCCCTTTAAATGGGTCTCCAAGGTCTGGCGGTTCAAACAAACTGGCTGGTGAGTGGAAACCATTTGCTTGTTTGCTCGTTGGCAAGTGGGCAAATGGTCAATCCCTCGTGTTCTCATCCCTGAAACGCCCAGTGAGCAAATGAGCTCTCCCCAAAATTAAAAGATTCAAAATGGAATATCTCTGGAGGCTTCGTTTTAAATAGAATATCTCTGGGGATGCTGCTGCAAATGCCTCCCTCTTGGCCATACACCTGTCTCTCCGCACAACTTTGCTGACCCCAACAACTGTGGGTCTAGCAAGTCCAATCTCTCCGAAGCGCGGTTTCCGCGCGAGCCCAGCCCCCCATCCACGTGGGGGTTGATCAAAAGGCCCGGTCACATGGGATGACTGTGGAAGACCACGAAAAAGATTTGATATGTCTCACATGGGCTTTTGAGGCATCCCCCCCTTTATTTCGGTAGTTCTTGGGGGGCAAACCATCATCACTAGGCTGTTTTTGTTTTTGTTTTTTTACATTGGTTGCCCTCCAATTCAAAAATGGAACCCGACAGGGTCTCTTGGTGGCCCAGAGAAGGGAATATTGATCTAGGTCCTCCAGTAGAGAGGCTAGAATAAGGGTACCCTTTTTCTGTAGTCTATTTTAGTAGGGAGACCTTCCTAAAAGGACTACTGGGGGACCTAGTGATCCTTAGGCTGGCTACTCGTGTTCAGCTTGGTTTTTTCGGCAAATCCATGGCCCCAAACGCCAAGGCCATCCTCCATTTGCTTTAAGTCCCCTGTAAAAAAAAAAGAAAGAATATTTCCACTAGTGAAGTCGATTCCCGTTAAAACCCACAGGGGAAAACCAAAACATATGTTGGCCACCCGTGCTTAGCTCTGCTTCTTCTTTTCTTTTGGCAAAAACCGATGGCCCCCAAGCGCCCTCGGTTAGATGGCCCCCGTCCGAACATCGGCGCCTGCGTCATGGACACCTCCTCCAGCAGCGGCAGCTGCTCCGAGAGGTCCGCGCACACCGAGGCCACCAGGAACTCCCCCGGGGGGTCCTCTGTGGCGGAGGCCTCGGCGCGTGAATCGAATGGAAAATCCCCGCCTTTTGCTCCAGGGGACACGTCCTCTAGGGCACTCATCAAAGGCCGACATCCAAATCCATGTCCACCCTTCGGTGTCCATCTCCTGAAAATCTAGGGGACACTTCCCAAATTCTTTCCAAAAATCCGAATCTTCCCAGAAAACCCGCAGAACTTGAGGGGAAACGGTTCCGGTTATGGAGAAAAGAACGAGGGTTGAAAAGAATGGACAAGGAATCAACCCCTAGATTTGTTGTCATGGGTGTCCTTTTAGGGGAAATAGCCAGGGCCCTGGTAGATGAGTAAACCACCAGGTAAACCAGGGCCATCGATTTTTCTACCAAAGCCGCCAAAAAGGACACCCATGTTTGTTGTTTCTTACAGTTGTTTCCTGAAATTGGGGCACCTACAAGATCAGCGGATCCCTCGTTGGTTTGGTGGTTGCCGCCGAATCGGAGGGTTCGGTTAGGAGTGGTTGCCCATCCCTCTGGAAAAAGGCAGGGGTTTGCTTGTTGGAGCCACCCCTGCCACCCGATGAACACGGAACCTGACCTTTGGGGCCCGGTCTTCCAGGATCTGTGAGGTTTTGGGACTGGCTAGTGCTCTTGCCGCTGCTCTAGGATGACTTGGAATGAACCGTTTTGGGTCCCCTTAATTGAAGAAAACCAAAAAAATGGTTTATAGGCGGGGTCGTTCCATTTCTCATTCCCTGCTGAGCACCAGCAAGCTGTTCTTCTTTTGAGGGCACACGTCTGTGGGACTGGCTACAAGGGAAATCCAAGAGAAATCAACGATGTTGCGTCAAGAAAATCAAACATAAAATAGGCAAACCCTGGGAAGGAAAACGGATGACTAAAAAGCGGGTGGACCAAAAGTGTTGCACCGTGAGTGGGTGTTCCGAGTAGAGTTTTTGCACACAAATGCGTTGAAAAACTTGGCATCGCCTGGCTCAATCTCTCGTCCCCAATCTCCTTGTGCAATCTCCCTCTCTCAAATGTATATCCAGGAATCCTTGAAGGTCACCTGGGTCCTCCAGTAGAGAGGTTAGAATAAGGGTGCCCTTTTTTCTGTAGTCTATTTTAGTAGGGGAACCCTCCCCCAAAAAAGGGTAAAAGGGCACTAGTGGGGGACCTAGTCACTTTCATGGGCAAACTGCAGGCCGAAAGCTGCTGCTCAAAGACGTGCTGATCGTGTTGCCTGCGCGCGCTCTGTACAGAACTCGAGCCCGGGGTTGCGAGGCTCGTGCGCGCGTGCCGCGCAAACATGGATATCATCGTTGACGATAGCAGAGAAGAGTAGGGCTGTGTGGAGTGGAGTAGAGTAAACTTACAGAAACAAGTGCCAGCCGTGGATAAATCAACTCTGTGCATGCATACCCCAAAAAAAACTCTTAAATGGGACATCCCCTGCTTCATCAACCAGGGGTTCATCAATCCGGGGTCAACAGAAGAAGGGCCAGCCGGGCGGCCCAATTCTCCTCCATGATCATCGGCAACATGAAGCCTTTGCATAGCAAAGCGGGGCCAAATGCCCAAAGGTGCTTACACTGCTCAGCAGGTTGGGATGAACATGAGGTACCTGGCCAAACAGGTTCGGTTTGGGATCAAAGCCTCGTGCTTGACCAAATCAGGTGGCTGAGTGAGCCCTAGAGTGTAAATTTGAACTGGTACCTCTTGGTCTAACATTATCATCGTCGTCGTTGTTGTCCTCATCATCCTAATCCTCGTGCTCATCCTCATCCTCCTCATCATCCTCATCTTCGTCCTCCTCATCCTCATCCCCACGCCCATCCACATCCTCATCCTCATCCTCATCCTCAACATCATCATCATCATCATCATCATCATCATCATCATCATCATCATCATCATCATCATCATCATCATCATCATCATCATCATCATCATCATCATCATCATCATCATCCGCATCCGCATCCTCATCCTCATCCGCATCCTCATACTCATCCTCATCAACAGATCATAGCACGCTGCCCGGCCTTGAAACTCGCGGACGAGCCGGCCAATGAGGATGTTAGACCAGTTGCACACCTCGGACCAAAAAATCATGCGATTGCAGTATAAACAGGATTTGGACATTTGGACATGGTTCCTCCTGGGTCCAGGCACGGGCTCCAAATGAGGGTGTGTTGCTTTGGTGTTTGTTGGGAAACGCACATGAAACCACCCAGTTGATTCCCAGTTTGGGGCTTCATAAATGCTTCCAACACCTCCGAGGATATTTTGCCCAGACCGAGTACTCATTCCCAACACAAATGAGATACCCAGGTCCTTTGATTCCCGGCGCCAAGCCCCAAGGTTAAATAGACATGAAATCCACATGGGCCAGTGGAGAAAGAAGCTGGGAAGCGCCTTATTTGCGGCGGGGGGCTGCTTGATGAGGGGGTCGTGTTCTTGTTTTCTTCGAAAGTTGGTTTAGGGAGAGCAAAGGGGTTCTCTGTTTTGACACACACCCATGTGAAAGGGGTTGTAGTCAGGGCTAAGAGATCAGACGGTTTTTGAGCTTTTCAAAATCGGGGACCAGGATGGCGGTTGGCGCAGCTTCCCTTTCGCTTTGAATGCATCGCCGTCTCAACCCCATGAACACTTGATGGCGCAGGCAACATCAGCATCAGGCGACCCTAAAAATCCAACACTGTACGTAAGGCAAGTCAGGCAAACACTTCCCACAACAAACAAAGAAGAAGAACAAAACACGAAGCGAGACTTCCTGTTTACTAAAGCTCGTGTCTTTCCAAAAGAAGTTGTTCAAGTCCAGGAACCCAAAGAGTGAGGTCCTCCCACCACCCCCGCTCCCCACCAGCCCCCATCCCCCCTCCCCGCCTTTTTTTTCCGGACCCCTCCTTCCACCCCACCAGCCTTCCGGCAGATGAGGCAGCGCCCGGCTTGCGCCGTCTTGGCGCGCACCGAGCTCACGTAGCAGCTCCAGTGGACCCCGTGGGAGCAGGGGGAGACCAGCAGCGTCTCCTATGGCTGGTCTCCAGGTTTCCCCCGGAACTTTCCCCGACCCCAGAACCCTTTTTGCTGGGGGAAACCTGGCTTCACCTGGAAACGGAAACAGAAGGTGATGTCACCTCTTGGAGTAACTAAAAATTGGACCGAAAAGGGAAAACCAAAAGGTTAAAAGGTCGATTCGCTTTGAACAACAGAGTATAGTAACCCCCAGTTTTGCCCAGAAGAAACCGACCCCAGTCTTCGTTGTTTTTTCCCTTTATTTTTTTCGGAAAGGGCTTGCCTCTTTCTTGACTCGAAACCCCTTGATTTCTCTCGGATTTCCCTAGCCAGTCCCACACACGTGTGCCCTCAAAGAAGAAGTAGTTGTGGTGGTTCTCGGCAGATGAGGCAATGACCGCTATTAACCTTTTTTGTGTTTTCCTTTAAGGGAATACCCTTCAGGTTCATTCCCAACACCCGGAAGAAACTCATGGACATGAAGGGAGGGTATGCTTTTCTGTGTCAACGCAAAATGTAGTTTCCATTTGTTTATTTAAAAAAAAAGCTGAAAGGGTAGCCCTGAAAAAACACTCACGGGATTGTAGGGTTTGAACTGATCATCTTTTGGTTCCAACCACCAAAGGAAGACAACAACGTGCGGGTTTGGAGAAGCCGCCGGTCTTTTGAGATACACACAACGCTCGCCCAAGGGCGGCGTTGTCCCAGTCGCTGAGGGGTGCTGAAAATGAAAAGATCCCAATTTGGACTCTCATTCCCTTTACTGTTCTGTTGAAGGGAGCCAACAAATGCAAAAAGAAAGATATCTCCTTTTTGGAAGACCCTCTGTTGGCTTTGAAGGCTCAAACTAGGTCAATGCCGGAGGTATCTGAGAACCCAAACGCACCAACTCACTCGCGAAGGCGAAAGCTGTGCTTTGGATAAAGGAAGGATTCACAACTACAGAATCTTTACCTCCTTCTGTTGGTCGTAACCATTCCAGGCAATCTACCCTTGTAAGGGAAACCAAAAGGAATGCAAAATCCATTTGGGTCGACTCCCTATTTGAGACAAGTACGGAGAAGGTACGACTTACAGCAGGCGGAATGTGTTTGGCTACACGCCTATGCCAGTTCCTGTCATGATGCTCAGCTTCGCGGTGCCACGCAAAAGGAATGTTTCCCGCAAACTTGATGCCAACATATTCTCCTCTTTTGGACTCGCCTCGATCCGAAAACCAATTTTGAAGCTCCAGGGTTCTCCGGCTGAAAAGCCACCAATGGGGTTGTCTCAAGAATTCTTGGTTGACGCTGGAAGGGGAGCAAAAAATTAAATTTTAGCAGTTTAGTGGGGATTTCCCAAATCCCCACTAAACCACAATAAGCAGAAAAAGTTAAAATTTTCCCAACAACAACCATGAATTCGAGGCCGAAATGGTTGGTGTCCCACCTTGTTCGGTGCCCATTTTCCCACCTCTCCGGTGAGCTTTCCCGAATTCTCCGCCACTCTTCTGTTCTCCAATGTCACTCAACTCCCCCTCAAAACAAAAAGAGGACACGCCCAAAATGGCTGGCTTCCCTTGGGATTGTTCTTAAAACCCACCAAGAAGGGCTCCCCCCTCTCACACACACACACACACACACACACCCACGCGCGCGCGAGCGCGCGCGCGCGCGCGCACGCACACGCACACGCGCACGCGCACAAACGCACAAACGCAAAAACGCACAAACGCACAAACGCACAAACCCACAAACCCACAAACCCACAAACCCACAAACCCACAAACCCACAAACCCGCAAACCCACAAATTCATAAACTTACAAATTCATAAACCCACAAACTCACCCACCCACCCACCCACCCACCCACCCACCCACCCACCCACCCACCCACCCACCCACCCACCCACCCACACACCCACCCACCCACCCAGCCACCCAGCCACCCAGCCACCCAGCCACCCAGCCAGCCAGCCACCCACCCACCCACCCATCCCAAACAACAACCCCAAAAAAAGAGCAACAACAAAACAAAAACAGAACGACGCCCGGCACATCGCATCTCCGCGATTCGTTCGAAAACACGGCGCTCCGCGGACAACTCTTCCAGGCACACCGGGCAGGTGGCGCCGGAGGCTTGCCTCAAAGCTCGCTCGAGACGCGAGCCACGAGCAGCGAGCCTCACCCCAAAGCCTTCGGGCGATGGCCCTCTCAAAGGATGGTCCTCCAGATTTGAGAGGTTAGAATAAGTTGGTGCCCGATTTTTCTTCTGTAGTCTATTTTAGTAAGGGATAGTAAGGGAACCCTCCCCCAAAAAAGAAACGGTAAAAGGGCACTACTGGGGGACCTCTCAAAGGATCTCAAAGGCGGGAAAGGCCATGGGCCTGGACAATGTTCAACCATTTTTGTTTTATTTATTTATTTATGTATTTATTTATTTATTTATTTAATAATTTATTTTATATTTTATATTTTTTTTCGGAAGGGCAGGGGTAACATGACTTCTGGCCAAAATGGTTCCCTCTCACTTGGTGATGTCATAGAATGAAGAGATGACATAGGAAGGGATATCATGTCATCCGGATTCATTCTAATTCTCTCTTCCGAGATGGGTGATCCCAGTGAGAAAGCAATGTGACCTGGCCCTTCGTCAAGAGAAACCGCGAGGCGGTGGTTTTCAAAACTGAAGGACCAACCGCAGGGCACCAACTGGTTTAGGAAAGAACCCTGAAAATCGCCCCGGGCTGTTTGCAGAGCCTCGGCATCCGGGCTGGAGTTCCTCGTGTGGCGGACAGTATGATGGGCGTTTGGCAACTCCACATCTAAGGGCCCCTCCCCATACTCCTCCAGTATTGCAGGGAATTGTGATAATAATGACGCTAAGCAGCCAGAAGGCTAACCGAATCTCAGTGATCCCATATTGAGAGGCGGACACATTATCCGCCTCACCTCTCAACACGACGAAGCAGCCACCCCCCTGTACAGCTCGAAGCGCAAGCGCAGCTGCATCTGGCGATAGACGGCGGCCTTGGTGGCCCTCTTCTCCTGACGGAGCCAGCGTCAGAAACCCCCGCTCGGCAGCGAGTCCGGAGAGTCTTGGGGTACCTTTAGACATAATGTGGATGGACGCAATTCTGCACCCAAGAAAGCCTGGAATGATGATGCCCCTGTAAGTGCCAACAAACAATGGTTTCCCAAGGGTTCAAAGTGAGTCACTTTACAAGCAAAACCTGGCATCAAAATGGTGTACCCAAACCAATGTAAAGAACCACAAAGGCGGCCGCAACGAATTCTGGCTGTGACTTTCCCTTGCTAACCTTCACTTACCCGGGCTTTGATTCTGGCTTGGGCTCTCTTTCTAAGGGTGGACCCCTTGATGGACCCCTTCCGGTGCCTGGCCGGGCAACCCCAAAGCGAGGAGCCTAAGCCCCAAGTGCCGCAAGCACCAGCGAACAATCGGCCTTTGAAATGTTGCACGCCTGCAGCTCAAGCACTTCAGCTGCTTTCAAGGGATGCACATCAGGATTTACTCCAGAGACTTGGGCGGCCCTTTTTGCGGAGCTCACCGCAGCACGAAAGCTTCGCGAGATCAGCTGCATGCCCCAAACGTCATCGCGCGATGTCGCTTGAGTCTGAGCTCAAGGAAACGGAAACGGCGGCGGAAAAGGGAAAGGGGGCAAAACGAAAGCGCTGAAACGGTACTTGGTTGACGTTGGAAGGGGCGCGAAAATTTAAATTTTAGCAGTTAAGTGGATTTGGATTTCAACCACTAAACCACAATGAGCAAAAATGTGAAAAATGTTTCCCAACAACAACCATGGGTCCGCCTTGCCGGGCTTCGTTCTCTTCACGGCCCTCATAGGGCCGTCTGATTTGCTCCTCACCGAACAAAGATCTAGCGTTTGCCGAGGAATCACACACACACACACACCCTTCTTTTCCGCAAGGTGTACGAATCCAGGGCTGGTGCAAACCATCGAATCCTTTTGCAGGGAATTGACCACCCCTTGTGCAAACAGGAATCTTCCCTCCGCGTGGCCAATCCAAGCATGCCTTCCTCCCATGGACCACAAAATCAAGCTGTCATATCCCCCGCAAGTTTAACTTGTGGGTTAAATTGACACCCAACCACTAAACCAACCAACAAAAGACTAACAACCTGAGGGCCCTCAACCCACATGGCCGATCCGCGCTACAAACAAACAAAAACGCCAAAAAAAGGGAACCGCTCGGACAGGGGGAAAAACCAAAAACAAACCCCTTCCGACCTCGCTGTCGACCAAGATCTCGGCGACCTGCAGAAAGGCGAAGAGCCCGAAGATGGAAGGCACCTGCGAGGCAAGACGAGGTCCTCGAGTTTTGGAGGTTAGAACAAGGGTACCCCGTTTGTTTCTCTCTAGTTTATTTTAGTAGGGGAACCGAATCTCCCCCAAAAAAGGGATGAGAGAGGGCACTACTGGGGGACCTAGAAGAGCCAACCCAAAAGGAACACAGGTCTCTCAGATGGGCCTGGTATATACAAAAAAAACTAAACCAGGGCCATCTATTTTTGAGCGCACTACCCCAAAAAGGACACCTATGACCCAGAAGCTGGCGGCTGATTGGAAACCTCCATTTTGCTCGTTTGCTTCTTGGCGAAGGCCAAGGAGGGTCACCCACTGGACCAGACAGATGTGGAAACCACCGATCCTGAATGGTAACACTGGGACCAGACAAATGAGGCGAAACCAACCAAACACAAACCAGCCAGCCAGGTTGTCACCTTCGTTGGGAAACAGGTCATCCCATGCTCGTTTGCAAACGATCCCTTCAACCGAGCCGGGAAGGCTCCCCAGCCGGTGCCTTTGGCACGAGCTGTGCAGGAAGTGGAACTTCTCATTTATTTCTCCACGACCCTGAAAGAATGGGGTCATTACCCAGAAGAAAGGGGTTATGACCCCATTTTTACAGGGTCATGGAGACTCCAGGTAGATGTTTACTTGTCTCTTTTTCTTTTTTTTGGGGGGGAAGATACGGCCGTGTTTTGTATGAGGATGGCCCAAAACGGCGGGTGGACCTGGTTCTCCCTATGCCAATGATGTCCACCGATGCCCCAAAAGCGCAAGCGCGCGCGATGTCGCGCGCCTCTGGAAGCAGCTCCCTCAGCTGCGGCAGCATCTCAGCCGCCTGCGGGCGAGTCGCCACCTGGCCAGGTCCCAAGGCCCACAAAGGCCATGTGAGGCGGGCCTGGGCCTTGTGAGGCTGCCATCATTGAGATGGTTTTTTTCACGGAGGCCAAAAGGAAACCGCCCAAAAATTGAGCGTTCGAATCTGTTTTGAGGGAGGAAAGAAAGCACATGTGGGCATCACAAATGGGCGCTTCAAATCGCGGGACCTGTAAGAAATGGTTGGTTTGCTGTCTCCTCCCCAAGAAAACCAAACCAAAAGGAAGTTAGGAAGCACGAGCCCCATTTCCTTCCAGCCTTTTTTCTTGCCTTGTGACCGTCTAACGGTTGGGCGTCGTTGGTGTCATGTGCGGTCAGAAAACCTGGCCGCACTTTAAGCTAGTTGGATAGTCCGATTGGCAAAGGGAAAGCACAAAATAGATTTTCTCGGGCACCCGTTCAGCCCCGAGCCCTGTACGCTAGAAGCTGATTCGCTCTTCAAACCAAGCTCATGCTAGTTGCAAAGTTCATATTCGATATGCCTTGCATACTGCAAAATGCATTGTGCAATGAATAAAAGGCAAAAACTGCGTTGCATTGCAACACTGAAGAAATGCCCTGAATGATCTGCTGTAAATGGTTTGTACAGAGCATTGCGACCGCGAAGGGGGAACAATTTGGCCAAGGACCAAAGTGACCCTCTAAGACGGTATCGCCTGGTGGTTGGCAATGTGGGAATGACCCCTGTAAACAGACCATCCCTTGCTGGTGGTTTCCTGTATTCGGGAATCCCCAGATTCATTCCATGTCTCATTCCCTATCGCACCAGCAAAACAACGTCTGCCTCTTGTTGCAAACTCTTCGCAGAACCTCCAACTAGAGACCCCGCGTTCCACGCCCTGGTGGCTCGCCTCGATGCTTGGCTCCCATGGGATGTGCACATCAAAGGGGCTGTGAGCTTGGTCTGCCCACCTTTTGACCTTTGGGTTTCTAGCCTCACATGCCCACCCCCCCCCAAAAAAAAAAATAATAATAATAATAATAAACAAAATACTCAAAAACGGGGATTGGAGATTGCCGCTTGGAGGGTTCCAGAGACGCCGAGTGGGGGGCTGGATATATTGAAGGAGCCCAGAAAGCCACCGTGTTGATCAAACAAACAGCCGACCAGCTCGAAAAAGTCACACAAAGGAGCACGACGCTGTGGGAGTCGATGGTCTGTCTATATTTGGAGGCGATATCAAGGAAAACATACACGCACGTGTCACACAGAGAAAAACACGAAAACAACTCGAGTTGTCCAACGTATCCAGGACTTGTCACATTGAGGCACACCTTCCTCCGCTTCCTTGGAAACTCTGAGGTCGTCTATTCCTTGGAAACCCCACTCAAAAAACATATTTTGCTCACGGAGCACCTTGAGCCGATGTCATGACACTGCTTTTCGAGCTCCCAAAATGCGGCCCTTCGGGGTTTGTCTCATCAGGGAACAGGTCCCACACTTGTTGTTGATGTCGGTTTCCCTCTGACCAACTCATTAAAAGGTTGGGATCCAAAACCAACCCAAAGATTGGAACCAACCAAAAAGGCACAAAAAGACAAAAGAGGGAACCCCAAAAAAGGTTGGAACCAACCAACAAGGTCGGAACCAAAAGAAAAAGAGAACCCCCAAAAAAAGTCCATCGGGCCCTTCTCTCCCTGCCCTCCCCTCCCCGAAGGAACGTCGTTCGGCCGGCCTGGTTCCAGCAGTCGAAGGCCGCAAAGTCCTGGTCCCAGCTGCAGGCCGCGGCCCAGCACGACAGGAAGAGGTGCGCCTCGACGCGAATCGAATCGACGAAGGCGCGGATCGACGCGTGGAGTCCGACGAGTCCATAGGCGTTGTCTCGGTGGCTTTCTGCTCCCCTGCCAAAAAAAAGTGTTGAAAATGTGGTTTAATTCGGAAAACCCATAAGTTAAACCAAAAAGTTCAAAGTACTAACATGAAAGCAAATGCACCAATGTGTGCTTTTAGGGCAAGATCAATGGCCCTGATAAATGATTAAACCGCCAGGTAAACCAGGAATCGCCATCTATTTGTCCACCGAAACCACCATAAAGGACACGATTCGTCGAATCGAAGGAAGGCCGAGGAAGCGAGCGGCCGGAAGCCGGGCGACGGTCCCACCTTCCGGGGATCCAGGAGATGGACTTTTCTTTTTGGGGGAGACTGTGGTGGTTGAAACCTCGTTCTCCACCAAGCGCCGCATGTTTTCAGTATGCCCCAGAGGTGTTGTTTATTTTTTCTGCCGGCTTGGGGAATTTTGTCGCTCGTGAAGTCAAAGGCAGTGGACATCGATCTGCCTTTCAGCGCCATGAATAACGCCATGCCAGAATTTCAGCAGCCCCTTCCCCTCGGTCAAAGTGTGCAAAGGCGCTACAGCATATGTTTCACGGCTTCCTGAAGCAAACGCATGCGGGAACCTCTTTCATCATTTGAGCGTACTACTCTTATACTGAAAAGCGGCGTTCTGGTTGAGCTACCAATTGCTTGCAACTGGGTGAGATTCAAGATGCAAAATAGATGTCGGGGGAAACCTTGAATCCAACTTTGCTCAAGGTGGCATGAAAGTCTCGCTTCTCAAGATTTAAGGAAATCTGGAATCTCAAGACACTGGGAAATGCATTGTTGGTAGGTTTTCGGAAAAGGTAGCCTATATATATATATATATATATATGGTACCCCCCCCCCCCCCCGAAAACCCACACTTTTAGCTAAAACACTGGTATTTGCCTGGAAAACGCACAAAATGGCCACGATCCCAGAAAACCAGCAAAACCCTCGAGAAAACCAGAAAAAACCAGAAAACCAGAAGTCTCAGAGACTTGTAGCTCAAGATCCAGAAAACCAGAAAAACCTCGACAAAACCAGAAAAACCTCGAGAAAACCAGAAAAACCAGAAAAACCAGAAGTCTCAGAGACTTGTAGCTCAAGATCCAGAAAACCAGGAAAACCTCGAGAAAACCAGAAAAACCAGAAAAACCAGAAGTCTCAGAGACTTCTGGGCCAAAGTGTTCAGATCTTCTGGTTTTTTTCTGATTTTCCTGGTTTTCCTGGTTTTCTCGAGGATTTCCTGGTTTTCTGGATCTTGAGCTACAAGTCTCTGAGACTTTTGGTGTTTCTGGTTTTTCTGGTTTTCTGGTTTTCTCGAGGTTTTTCTGGTTTTCTGGAATTATGTCCATTTTGTGTGTGTGTGTTTCCAGGCAAGTACTAATGTTTTAGCTGGAAATGTAGGTTGTGGTGGGGGTGCCATCATGCATATACAGATAAGGTACAAACCTCCCACACTTTTGTTTTTCATGAATGCCTGCTGTGGCTGCCTGCCTCAAGCGCTCCTAAAGCTCTTCTGTCCCATCTGTGACTCTACACAGTCATCCTTCTCGTGAGCAAAACGATGTTCCATTTAATAATAAATATAATTATTATTTCAACAGTATGAAAAATATTATTGTATTATGCCTGATGTAAAACCAATTGATGAAATCAAATATGCCTTTAAGCAAAGCAAGCACGAGGTTGTCCCTAAATTGCCGATGAGAGCGATGATTGTAGGTCCGTCTGGTTCTGGAAAGAGCACGCTACTTGTATCAATGATACTTGATATTTATAGAGGAGCATTTGAAAGAGTTTTTATCTGGTCCCCATCTGAAAATTTGGATAGTATTTGGTTGCTAGTGAAGAAATATATTAAGGACGGTTTGAAAGTAGATACCGATAAAGAACCGTGTTGGTGGGATGAGTTCAATGTTCAAGGTTTAGAAAGAGTTATAGAAACTCAAAATAAAATAATTGAATACCAGAAAAAACAAGGAATGAAGAAGTTATTTAATATATTAGTTATATTGGATGATGTATCTGATAATCCAGCAATAACAAGAAATACCAAATTGTTAAATTCTTTATTTTGTAGAGGTCGTCATAGTGGAATATCAACGCTTGTCAGTCTTCAAAAATCATCAACCGTGCCACCAATTGTTAGAGTAAATATAAGTCATTTGTTGTATGATAAAGTTAGAAACTTCAAAGAAATTGAAATATTGCAAGATGAATTATCAGAGATTGTTAGAAGCGATAATTTACACGAAAGCAAGAAACTAATTTATACAATATATGAGACTGCCACTGATGAACCGCATAGTTTTTTTTAAAAATTAACCTTTTAGAAAAGAACCCAGATAAAATGTTTTGAAAAACTTTTCACAATATTTGAAAATAACTAATCAATAACATTGAATTTATTTTTTATGTTATTAATTTAAATTAATGAAGCGTTGCATAAATTCAACACAGGCAATTTATATATTAGTTTGTCCGATTTTTGATTTTCTAATTTTTCAATCCTTGCCACACATTCTTGAATATTTAATTATTAAAGTATCCGCTCTGGTTTTTCATCTACTCTGAAATTCTTAATGTCTTCCATACTGTTATTTTTGTCGTTTTTTACTTTGACTAATACCCATTATATATTATTATTTAGATTTTCCTCATTTTCAATTCCTTAATTTATTTTTCTAATTTTTCAACTTTGTCTATTACTTCCAGTAAAGCTTTATGTAATAATATAGGAACTTTTGTATATTCAATACCTAAATGTTCACGTCCGGTATGAACTACATTACTAATTTCTTTTGGAACTGCTTTTAATAAATCATCGGCAATATAACCTATATGGATTGCATCCTTGTCGTCTCTATCTTTTCTCTTGAACTTTTTAGGTTTGAATTTCTTAATCATACTTTTAAGTAAATCTACATCATATATTTAATTTTGCAAAAAATGTGCCGCGCGCGTCCATGAAAGCATGGTCATGTGTATGTGTAAACAACCATCTGTCTTGCTATCAAGGTCAACCATCTACCTCTGCTTAAAAGTAAACCATCTTTCCATATCAAGAGCATCTGACTTTCTGATGTTGAAAACGCGGGTTTTGGGGGGGGGGGGCTAGCATATATATATATATATATATATGCATATGTAAATATGTATATATATATATATACCCCCCCCCCTCCCAAAACCCGTGTTTTGGCACACGTGCATGCAGAAGGCACTCCTTTTGAACCAGGGCCCCGAGAAAGCCTGCATCACACTCACTGCGATGGCTTTTTCATGAACTTAGTCATCAACCATTCGCACAGTGTCCCAGATGCAACCCACATATCCTGGTTCCTATACCAGTCCTGATACTGTGCAGAACGAAGCTTTGCTCGTAACGAAGAAGACCCTACCTTTGCATTCTGGTTGATGGTCAACCTGTCCTTCAAAAACTTCCAGGCCCGATCAACCACCTGTGTCCCAGACTTCACTGTCATCATCTTCTTCGTGATCGGGTTCTTGTGCTTCGCGAGCTTTACATAGGTCGGGGCCTTCCACTTCCACTGGCCCTTGACTTTGACCCGCTTCTTCCCGTGGACCACCTTGTCGTGGAGCACCCCAGGCACCCTGGTCTTGTAGCTCTTGGCCGAGTCAGTGTGCAGGATCACCTTCTTGTCCTGCAACCACTTCTTTGCCAAAGGAGTCCATTCCACCTTTCTGATGGCGCCAGGCCCGGGAGCTCTCTTGGCCGACTCCCTGGGGGACAGCCTGCTCAAGACAAGTGTCTCCGGGTGGCCACGTTGGACTGTGCCACACCACTGCTCCCAAACGACCGGGTTCTTGGGGTCAGGGGCTGTGTTACCATCCGCCTCGACATCCGCCCACTTCGGGTCCTTGCCAAAGACAATGTCCTTCTCCTTTGCCTCCACCCATGTCTTGCAAGCATGACACAGCCTCTTGTCAAGGTCCTCGATCATCTTGTGGTTGTTGTCGAGGTAGCTAGACTCTATTTTGGCTAAAGGCGATATTTTGCCTGGCCCGTACTTCAAAAATCACACTTCTGTTACCTAAGCGATCCAAAGTGTTCCCTGGTCTTCCAAAGGCGCTCCAAAGTGTGGTCGAGGTAGCTCAACCATAAGATGGTTAGAGGCATTTGTGCGCTTTTATCAAACGTATACCTTTCGAAGCTTGCATGCCGTTTTGTTTCTTGAGAGCTAAGCTCGATAATGTTCAAAATTGCAACTTGGCTGCCTGATGTAGATAGCATTGGTGTGCAGATAAGCGCATATTTTTCTTTGGAGAGACATTGCATGCCCCGTGTTCCGTCATTTTTTTTGCATAGAGGCATTCAGCCGAGGAGGTAACATGACTTGCGCCCTCAACCATGTATGAAAAGAGTGTCAAACGCACGGGAACAAATCGGAAAAGACTGCGCGCAGCAAGCACAACATTTCAATTGAAGGTTGCCCCGCATACTATTCTAGATTGCCCATGCTTTTTAAATCGCCTTTCGACGCCTTTTTATAGCCTTTCCACGCCTTTTTATTGTCTTTCCAAGGACGGTCAATATCTTGAGCTAACCGCTGAACAGTTGTCGCAGGATTTGTGTTCAGACCTTTGCCAAAAGCGCAAAAAGATCTGCATTCAAGGATGGCAGTGGCTGCATGGTCAGGAACATGCATACTGCTATGTTGAATGTGTCACATAGACACGCGTCATATTTAGGCATGCCTAATTACAGCTAAAATATCATTTGGAAAGCACATATGACCGTTTTCCATGTAAAATCACCTGATCAGCGAGCTACTAAAACTCATTACATGCACAGGACCCTGTGGCAAGCTGAACTTCCACGGGTCCACCACGTCCACTCTTTTGGACCAATTTACGGTCGAGGGCCGTACTTTTATTCATAGCCTTTGTCTTTTATTTTGGTCTAGGCCATATAAAATATGGTCGGGGAAGGCCAGGGTGTTGCAGGTAGGCCAAGATTCCCTAGCTTTTCTTTTTATGGTCGAGGGACATTTGCTTTATAGCCTTTCTTTTTTTTTGAAGGTCAAGGCCGTAAAAAGTACAGTCGAGGAAGCTCTGGGAACACATCCCGAAACAAATGGCTCACGTGACCAAACAGCATGACCCAAGATCCTCGTCTGCCTGCTGCAGCATGTCCAGGCTCGAGCCTAGGCAGCCAAGTCCGAACACTGTACACTGTATATAATGACATGAGGGACTTTGGGAATAACACCTGAACAACGAACCGTGTCTGAAAAAATGGATGGTGACAAGCATGGGCCAGGCCGTAGCCTCAGAATGTTACACCAGAGAAAAGACGATGGACCGCAGGGTTGGAAATGTTGTTGAGCTTCAACATGAGGAGGGCTGCCTGTGTCTGCAAGGGCTGCGCAGCAGCGCCACGGCCATCCACGACGCAGGTGCTGCGGGTTGAGACACGGCATTTCCATTGGGAGCACCGGTGCTTTGGTGGACACACCTTGCCTTCCCACTTTGGGAGGATGCGGTCAGCCCGCAGCATCTTCACCACATTCAAGGGGGTAGCTGTAAGCAGCTGAGTCAAAGACCTCTTCCACTTGAAGCGGTCCATGCGCTGCCCGCCAGGTCCAGCTGCCAGTGAAGTTGTCCTGGTGCACTTCACAGCATCCCACGTCTTGTTCTTCTTCATCGCAGGCCTCTTGAGCAGTGTGCGGCCTTTGCCCTTCTTCGGATCAAGGAAAGGGTTGAACTCAGCCACCATCGGGAAGTATAGAGAGCGAGCTTAGCAGTCTGCGTAGAAAGCCAAAAGACTTGAAAGCATGTGCGTGTGAGGGACATGCGTGACAATATTTGTTCATAGGCACGGGCACTATGCAGACAGCAAATGCAAGCTCCTTTGTTTTCTTGATGAGAGCCATGCGCGGAGTGTGTTAATTAACCAAAGAGCCCCTTTGCTATATGTGTCAAGTGCACACTAGTTTGTGCATGCGTACCATTGGAGGTAGCCACTGTGTCACACAAACTGTGCAAATATACCACAGTTTGAACCCACGCCCTTTTGCAAAATGCTCACTCCAAGGTGCCATGACCAAAGGGGTTCTCTTCATACTCTGTGTCTTCCTTAGTCTACCGTGTCGGCCTGCGTGTTATCCTCATCATCCAACACAATGAAAGTCCTACTGGCCTTCAGCTCTGTGCTCCAGACCTTGGCCTTCTTCAAGGCCTCGTCTGCCCGGGCTTCCTCGATCTCTCTCTTGACCTTGACCTTCGTCTCCATCTTCTCGAGGCAAGACTTGTTTTCCTCACGCCCACGGAAGAGCTGCCTCAGCTGCTGGTTCTGCTTGTACTTGGGGTCCTGCTTCTCTTGCTTCTGCTTGAAGACAAGCTCAAGCCAGGCTTGCTCTTTGCGCACCTCCTCCTCGAAATTCTCGGGCAATGTCTTGCAGTTGTCCTTGTACTTGCCATACAGCATCTTTCCTGTCTGCGTCAGAAAGTCAGGGCCTTCCACAAAGCGGCGTGCCACCTTATCCTCGTTAACTCCAGAAGGGCGGTAGTACACGAACTTCTTGGTGTTGAGGATGAAGCATGCGCGCTTGAAGATTGCATCCACATCTGCACCAGATGCGTCTCCCTTAATGCTAGGCCGGACCATCTTCTTGAAGTCAGCGAACGTGATGTGCTGGTTGTAGTCCTCACCCTCGTTCACGTTCTCGTCATAGGTGTTTGCTGCGAGGGCACGGTGGTTCTGAACCCATTTGACTGCACCCCATTTTGCCCAGGACCTAGACTCATACAAGCCCACATCAAGCAAAGACTTCATGAGGTCGGGTCATCCAGAAAGTCGCCAATGGTCACAAGCCCAGGCTCCCCACACAAGAAGTCCAGCTCAGGTGCGCACCTAATGCAAGGCCGATGGTGACATTCAAAGATCTGCTTGTTCCGCCTGCACTGAGCCATCAGGACACTCCTTCCCAAAGGACTTTTGCCTGCACCGCTCTCCCCCAACAGCACCAAGGAAGACTTGTCGACATCCCACACAGCCTCAAGAATCTCGAGCACCCAGGGTCTGAAGAAGGTAGATGTCAAAGGCAGGGGCCAGTCGAATTCCTTTCTGGCAAGGGCACCATCGGAGGACAAAGTGCGAAGAGCTTTGTCCACCGGTGCTTGGGGCTATGGCCTGCTTGTAGCACGTGGACAGGTCATCAAAGTTGAAGTCAACAGGGTGCCTTGTGACGAGCTCCAGCCAGTGCGCGCCTCCACGCCGCCTGCCTCCGCCATGGGGAAATTGACGTGGTTGAAGATGCCAATTGGCAGTGAGGAGGACACAAAGGGTGATGGCATGCTTCTGCATACGTAAGCGTCGCATGCGTTCTTGAGGTCATCAAAGGTCATATCCTCAGGCTCCTTGGCCATGCTAGGACAGGATCAGAGCAAGGGCAGAAGAGGAGCAAGGAAGCACTGAGCCAGACAGCTTCACATATGGGCTCGGTTCTGCTCAGATTCCTGGAAAACTGAAAAAACTGAAAAAACTGAAAGAACTGAAAAAACTGAAAAAAACTGCAAAAACTGCAAAAACTGAAAAAAAAAACTGAAAAACTAAGGATTCTGAGGGACATGGCTGGGGGGGGGGGTCATGTCCCTCAGAATCCTTGTTTTTTTCAGTTTTTTTTCAGTTGTTTTCAGTTTTTTCAGTTTTTTTTTTTCAATTGTTTCATTGTTTTCAGTTTTTTTCAGTTTTTTGCAGTTTGTTCAGTTTTGCAGAGAGTGTCTTGTCTGAATTGTATTGAGGAATTGCCAGAGAGTTTCCAGAAAGCTTCCTTGAAAACTGAAAAAACAGCCTGACAACTGAGGGTTCTGGCAGATTCAGGTTTTTGTCAGAAAACAGTAAATATCAGTGTTTTCAGACCAAACCTGGGATATTTTTTTTGGGGGGGGTACCATATATATATATATATATATATTAATAAACAATGTTGAACCTGAATTTGCAAATGAGGTGTCTATTCAATAATAGAAAGTTGCTGTTGCTGACAAACAATTGGGCAAAAAAACAGGCAAACGGGCCAGGCAAATCTGGTCCTGGGCAAAAAGTCCGGGCAAAAGAAATCCGGGCAAAGATTAGGAATTCCTGGTTTGAAGTGGTCTTTGTTCGGAAAAACCAAGGGCAAACAGTCACGCAAAGGGGATACCCCACAAGAGGCCCCGATCATGTTCAATATGAGGGTTTTGGGGTCGTCGTTCATGTCAAGCAATTTTTTTGTGGGGATTACCAGCTCAAAGCCGTAGCCTTTTGCTTTTAACGCATGGTTAATCTAACGAAGCTCTTCCCAGCTCAAAGGCTAAAAAGCATTAGAGCTAGGAAACTCAATGTCGCAACTGGTCCCCAAATCATACAATTTCAGATAACGTCTCTATTAAAAAAGAAGAACAACAAGCCCCGGAGCCAGTAGTACTAGGAATCCGCGAGGAAGGCTTGGCAATACTAAATTTAGACTAGGCCATACTAGAGGAAGTTGTGGGAATGACAAAAGGCTAATATCACACGTGACATACCGGCGCTGGGCCCCCTTTGCCAACTTGCCCAGAGTTTCCACATGTCGCTTTCACTACCCGCTCTCCGCCCCCTTCCAGTCCCGCTTCTTCTACTTGGTTACCACCAGAACCCCCAAACCTGCCCAACGCCCAACGACATCGCGCGCCTTCTCCGGCTCGCTGTGTTCCTTCGTCTCCCCGCAGAGGCGCTGAAAGAAGCCCCGGAAGGCCTGATTTGATTGCCCCCAAATCCCCCCCCCCAAGTGATCGGAGCTTCGTGAAAATCCTGGGCCCTGCTTTGTCCGGCGGATTTCGCGACTGTGTCACATGATGAAAATTGTCTGGTTGAGTGTACAGGCCCCTGTTTTATCAAGAGGGTCATGAATCTTTGAGTCAACAGGGGAGTGGCGGGTGATCCTGTTCTTCTCCACCTCCCCCAGGAAGGGGCGCCAAACTGCCAATGATTGGGCCCCCATCTTCCCGCCTCGATTGGGCAGCCCCTTTCACCTTTTCCGCCAATTAGATCATATCCCACCTCCTCTGCACTTTTCCGCAAAGAGAATCCGTCAATCAAAGCCGCTAAAATAGGAGCCGCCGGATTCAAGCGTCCAACCCAAATTTTGCTGCACCCTGCTCCCCTTCAGAAGCTGCCATTTACTGGCAAGTTCTAACACAACTCCAACTGTTTACCCCATTCTGCAAAACAAAACTTAGGCCTCCCCCCAAAAAAACATACTAAGAAAAAAGGACCCCTCCCCCCCCCCCCAACAAAAAAAAAAACAACTCCCCCCCCCCCAAAAAAAAAGGAAGCAAGAAGTGCTTAAACCCAACCCGCACCGGGTGCTCCCAAACCTCTCGCGACTTCGGGCAAATCAAATCCCTCGAGGGCCTCCAGCAGGTTCGCTCTTACTTGAAGGCTTGATGGACAGGTTGCCATGGGGCTCGGAGTCATTGCCCTCCAAGCCGCTCAGTCGCATGGTCCGAGTATGTCTGTGTTTGGTCAGTATGTCTCATCCAGACAGGTGTTTAGGACTGGCCCAGTTTTCACCCGCCAAATCCCTCGCCTCCAGCAGGTGCCGCCGCTTCCGGCCCTTGCTGCGCCGCGGCAGATCTCTGCCGCCCGCGTCCAGCTGCGCGTCGCGGGCCTTCAGCAGGCCCAGCGGCCTGGAGGCACAAGGACCTGGGGGGATCATGCATATATATATATGTATATGTATGTATATATGTATGTGTATATGTATATATGTGTATGTATAATATGTATATATGTGTATGTATCATATGTATATGTATAATATGTATATGTATGTTTTGTTTTTCAAGGGTTCCCTTTTGGGATTGGTTTCAGGGGACACTTAAGACCAACGGGGGCTTGGATGGAAGCGAAATCCAGAAATCGCGCCACGGAATGAAACCATGGTTGAAACCGGAACGTTTGTTGCGGTATTTACGTTGGGGAATCTCATCATTCCAGGGTTTCTGAACGGTGGTGCGGAATGGATTCGTCCATCCACACCCCCCTATTCTAATCAGGCACCCTCTGGTGGACATCAAATTTTGGGATTTCTCTCCACCAAGCATTTTCCCTGCACCTCATGGCCATGTACAACCCACTGAGTGGTGACCCAAATGTTCCTGCAAGAAATCTGGGCAAGTCAAAATCCTATGCAACTGGAAAGCGTGCTTTTGCTCGTACCAAAAGAATCCGGAAAGGGCGCCACGCGCACGCTGAAAGCGACCAGGTTCCCTGAGCTTTGAAAATGCGTTTGGCTTGTAGAGATTGGCACCCCCAAGATTAATTTCGCTTAGGATGTGCCAGTCTCGTAGAAATATATTTCAAATATCAAACAGTATATTTCAAAATACGTTTGGCTTGTGTTTTCGTTTCTTCCCCTTTGAACTCACGGATTCGACAAGGGTACTCTCCAGAAACGACATCATACCCTCCCCTCCGGCAGTTGCAACTGGGCTTCGCAAACCTTCATACTGACTGCCGATTACCGCTACTCCTACCCCTACAACCTGCAACCAACCGACCGACCGACCAAGACCGAAACAACCAGCCAGCCAACGAGACAGCCAGCCAGCCAGCCAGCCAGCCAGCCAGCCAGCCAGCCCACCCACCCACCGACCAACCCACCAAAAAACAAAAACAGGCATCCAGCCAGCCAGTGGGAAAAACTGAACCAAGCAATGGTTCACAATCGTTCCCAACATCTACCAACTACACCCCATAAAGGTAGCAAATATGGCAGGAAGCTGATGCAAAAAAGGTTCAGGGGTCAGAATGCAGAAAGCGGATGTGCCCACATTGCCCCTCCCAATTCCCACCGCAACACTCCTGGTGCTTCATCCCTGCGTCTTGGCTCATGCGAGGCAAATCCAAGTTGCATCGAGCGAGAGATTCCGAGATTCAATGGCCCTAAGACCTCAAACAAGAACATCTTCCTCAGCCTCCGTGGCTTTGGTAGGAAGCCAAGCAACAAGCTTCAGGCGGAATGCCCTGGTCACCAACCTTCTCGAAAGAAAACATTCCACGCATTGACTGCCAACAGGGGCCCAAATCGCTTGCTGGTGTTCAGCAGGGAATGAGGGAATGACCCCATAAACCACCATCCAACTGCTGGTTTGTCCTTTCTTCGGGTCTCCCCAAAACCGGTTCATTCCACTTCTCCTTCCCTAGCCATCTCTCGCACCCATCGCAAGATCCGTCGCCCTGCGAAAGCGCCTCCCCCAAAGCTCCGGCCTCGGCATGGCCAGCAGCGAGCAAATGTACCTGCCGTCCTCCAGGGCCGTCTCCATGTCACCTACGCGTCCGCAGATCTCTCACGCCCATCCCTCCCGCTGAATCGCGCAAAGAGAAGTCCCTTCGGGTGACGTGCACAGAAGTGGCATGAAGCCTTCGGGGCGTCCCGAACAAACAAAACCAAAACCACCTGATGGATGGTTTCTTTCGGGGTCCTTCCAATTCTCATTCCCTGCATCTCTCGCACCAGCAAGGCACAAGAGCAGCGCCGAAAAACGATTTCGCGTAGCGGAGAGTCCGAACTTTCTGCAGTTTGCCTTCCGCGCTTTTGAGGTCGATCACCGAATGGGAAATATCCCATTTCACCTGGGACCTGGGAAGGTCTCTGGAACCATTCGAGGGTCAAAGAAATCGCCATCCTCATGGGAAAAAAATGCGGGGAGAAAGACCATGGAAAAATTCTCGGGGAGGGAAAAAACAACTCTTATCCAGCTTCCATGAAACCCACCTGAACTTTACCAGATCTGAGGACAGCTATGAATTTCATAGGGATCCCCCTGAAAAGTGGCCCCACCTAAGTGCTGTCCAAGGGGGGTCCGTAGAATTGAAAAAAACATGCCCGCATCAGGAGGCGAGTGGCCTTTTCGGGGGTGCTTGAAGGGGAAATCTGGGGTTCCCAGGGTGCCGTGATAATGCCCGGCTACCACAAAAACCAGCTAAAAACCCTATAAAAAACCTATGAAAACTGGATGGCTGGGATCCACCATAGTGTGAGACACCCGCTGCACTCCCACCCCGGAAATCCCATGCCTTCGCGTCGGGGGCTTCTGCTGCGGGTGCGCCATGACATGGTCGCTCTCCGGACGTGGGGGTCATCCACATGGAAAAACCCGCGGTGCCCGGTTCATGCGAAGTCCCCCTGGGCGAAGAATGGCTCTCTCCTTGCCCCAGCAAAATATTGTATTGTTTGCCTGGTTAGTGGAAAACAAAGGGGACCCAGAAAAAGGAAAAAATCAAAAGGGAAACTAATTCTGGGGAAGTCTCTTGTTCAGGGGGTGGTTTCAAAGGCAGATCAAAAGGAAACCACCATATCATCGCTCTTACGTCTGCTAGGAACCTGCGTCCAAACGCGCGACCTGACATCTGGAACCTGCGTCCAAAGCGCATTGAACCAACAAACTCTTGTGGATTTTGTCTTGTGGGGAACCCTATAAATGGTCCCCATCGGTGGTTGGCGTCCTCTCCCGAGGATTTTCCCTCAAAGAGATTTGGAGCAAGCTGCTTTGCGCGGGGTGATGCAAGCTTGGGGCGCAACACAGCCGTCCGAACTCGAGACATAACTTTAGTTGGTTCCAGTGGAGGTCCATATGTTTCTGAAGGTCAAACATAGGTACTCAAAATAAAGCCTTGGTAAACAAAACCAAGGACTAAAACCTGTGGTCCCCTGGTGGTTTAAGTTTGACCCATACCCATATCTTTCTGAACTTTTCATGATACATGTTTCAGCTGGATCAGGGCCGAGCGGCAAGCGCGGCAGCGGAGACGGACATTCAACCTAATGCTTCCCGCACCAAAAAGCCAAGCAAGAGGTGGCTAGGCATGGTGGAAGCTGTTTAGGTGGAAAAACTCCAAAAGGAGGTTGAAATTTCGAGCCACGCAAGATGTCCGTGCTAGCAGCATGCGTGAATAAGAAAATTCGGTCAGAAACAACAGCAAATTTATGTATTCCCCTAAGAGGACGCGGTATTGATCTTGCTGCTGATTGCAAAGGCTTGTGCCAACCCTACAGGAGCATCCTGTCACACAATGGCCGACTTCGAAAATTGCATCTATCGGAAAGGATACATCCAGAAACAAATCTGCGACGTAAGCATCATCGAACGTACGGCACCTGGCACAAAGCGACGCCAAAAGCCAAAACTGGCAAAGAACATGTGTGCTGTCAATGATCAGTCCAAGAACCCAAGAAGCAGTTTACCTGTCACACGAGTCACACGACATCAACTCGATAAGGACTACAGTTGCGTTTGTCGAAGACATGTTTGGAAGCGTCGTCAACATGCAGTCACCTTGCACGCCTGGTTCCAACCCTGCACATCCCCGATCTGCTTCTTGGCCTGCCAAACAAAAAAGACTCAAAGAATTGAAGCTCAAAGCAAGTGACCGTTGAACATGTGAAAACTGAAAGCAATCCGGCCAAGGCAGCCAAGATGCAATTGTTTGGGCGGCTAGAAGTCTACTTAATCTATAGGCTATGGCAACGCTGCTAGTGGGCGTTTCTGCTCCAACAGTTTTCTAAAACTAGGGTGTAACGACGCACTGTGATGCTGGCGATGTGGATCGGACAGGTGACGTTGGTGACCCTGGCGACGCTGGCGATGCGGCCAGTGAAAAGCCCAGCGCGGCATACTCCGCAGCCGACCCTCCGAAAAATCCAGCGCAGCACTCGCCCAGTTGCAGCAGACTTCCCAAGATGTAGGCAAAACGACAGCCACGCAGAGGCGCAGGTTGGCAGATTTGGCCTTGTTGGAGCGGCGTGGGTGAAGTTGCCCTGACGTTTCTGAAGCGGAGCGCGGCTTGCGGCAGCCCGGGGGCTTGTCATTGATGGCGCGGCGGAGCTTGTTCCTCTCCTGCAGATGATTAAGGGCCTTCGCCTGCAACAACTTGACACGCCACCTGGGCTCACGCAAGAGCCTCCAGAGCACCGGCATCCAAGCCTTCAGCCAGCGCGCCCCTGCAGTGAACCAGCACGCCAATCCCACCTGCCCAAGCTGCTTCCGGTTGCAAAAATCACCTGCGCGACCGACCAGAAGAAGACCTGCAAGGACACGCTCGCTCTTGTCTGGGCATAGCACAAAGTGGCCGGCCCAACTGGATCCACCAACCGATCCATTTCAGCCAACATGCGCCGTGACAGCGGCAAAGCCGGAAGCACCAGCCAAGCAAACCTGCAGGCAATGCAAGATCGCAGCCTTGACCCCCCAGCCGCAACCGAAGTGACAAGTTTTGTATACCAGCCAGTGCTGAGTACCGGCAGAGTCAATAGCCACAAAGACTGACAAACCTCGCTCTGCATCCGTCGATCCGACCTGTTCCGGCAAAAGGCACATATGACGAATCAACCCCGCGCTGGAAATACGCGCGAGAGCTACAGCTTCATCGTTTGAAATCCCCCAACAACTTGCGGGATTGGAGTCAGACCTTCTTAAAATCTAAGTTGTTTGGTGTCATGTTGACCCGTCACTAACATGTGCGAATCTATCCTAACTCTGCCCCGGTGCAAACATCTTGAAAAAGGCCGTCAACTCTCCAAAAGCGCTTGTTTCGCTGCAAATCGACAAGTACAGTGTCAAATCTCAGTTGTTCAGTGACCCTGGAAAAAAGAGGGAACCCTTTTTGGGGCTTGGACCATTTTTAGTGGGGCAGCCACCTAAAGAAAAGGGGGAAAGAATTGGTGCCACTGAACAACTGAGACATAGTTCCCATGCCACGGTGAGCCAGGCTGTACCAACCCCCTTCGGCCATCGGTGTACACCAAAGCGGATATGCCCGTTATATAAGCTGGGTGAAGCAAAGAGTTAGCAAGATATGGGTATGGATCAAATTAAAGTTTAGACCTCGGTTCCATTTACCAGGGTTCCATTTTGGGCACGGATTTTGACCCACAGCCATATCTCGGCTATTTATATCTACCTCCAGGAATTCCACGCACCAGGCAAGCACGCGAGGCCATTTTCCCTTGGTCGCCTTGGGCATGCTCGGGGTCTGGAACAGATGGGCCAAAGCAAAGCAGACATTCTTCGGTCAAAAAGCCGCGCTTCTTTCAACCTCTGCTTGTACTGAAGAACCCTTCATGCCACATAGTCCGAATTTTGGACGAGTTCCCTTGAGGCATCTTAGGAAGCAAGCTTACAGTGAATCAGCTGCGGAAAAAGGCAACTGGCTCTAGACTCGACCTCGCCCGGCTTGGCTTCAGGTAGAGCTCTTTCCCTGCCCCATCCGGCACATGAGGAGAGGTTGGAACATGAGAAACGTCCTTTGACTCTTGTAACCGGTGGAGGGCACAATCAAACTAAACATAACTTCTTTGAGACCAATTCTGCCAGTCCACCAGTGGTCTCCTATTTCTGATGGCCTGTACGTGAGTAGCTGCCCGAGCAAAGGGCTGCTTATAGTCTTATCAACCTGAACATTACCCCAAAATGGTGCTTGCATGTTGGTCTAGTGGAAAATGTAAAGTCTCCAACGGCCAAATTGTATTTTTAAGGAGCTTTTGAGTAGTTCAAAATGTTGAACCTGTTTCCAATTTATTGCGTAAACTTGGCTCAAGGGGTGCAAAGGACGACCGATAGCATGTGTCATGTCTCCTGTACACTTCTGGGAGACATATATATATATATATATACATATATATATATATACTTGGTTGCTGTGGCCCCCCCGCAAAAAGTCTAACTTTTGGGGAATTTAGTAGAAAACACCTTTACTTCCCAAAAAGTTAAAGTCAAAGATCCAACCCAATAGCAGTCAAGTATATACATATATATATATATATGTATAAACAGAAACTTGCGGGCACCGCCGTGGAGGACTTGTGACTCAAAACGCATCACATTTTCTGCATGTGCCAACCTCTCCGAGTGGCTTTAAGCCACACCGTCACAACCAACGGCTTCTTGCATTGGAAGGTGAGACCTATCGTTTTGTATCTTCCGCGCTTTCGTTTTTCAGCTGCGGCCCTTCTTGCCTGTGGTCCAATGTCACATGCGCTCTGTTTCCTTTGACAGGGTGTGAATGTTCATGGGTCCGAAAGCACCCCGTCCACAAACCAGGCACATGTCATTCCCGCTCCCCTAGTCGCAGTCGCACGTCCGACTTCAAAAACAAATTGGGGCCAAAAATGAGAACACCTCCAAGATCCAGGCTTAGACCTCAGAATTCTCAAAGAAAGGACCCCCCTTCCAGCTGGACACCCCCCGAGGCCTGAGGGTTCAAAGCACTAGGAGATATGCCAATTCCCAAATGGACTTGCAGATCCACTTTTTTGATCCACCAAAATCGCACAGCTAGAACGCCAACAAATCGAAAGTCGGCCTTGCAACTATGTCCAAGTCCTCTCAACATCGCGTCACCGGAGACATGTCCCGTGAGGCTAGGGCCTCCATGTAGCAGGGGACTGGCTTGCGCAAAGCTTTCGGGGCATCCCGCAGCCGTGGCATCACAAATGGCACACAGAGAGAATCCCGAGCCCCGGATCTGGACCCAAGAATCAAGGTCCAAATCGCCCCCAGGGCGAGAAGCGATTTGGTTGATTCAGTGCCGCATCCCTATCCGCTTGGATGCGCGCCTTGCCGAATTGTGACAGGGCCAGCATTCCGGCGATTTTTTTGGCTGAGACCCCACGCAGAAACGACATGTGTCGCAGGCAGTCTGCCGGACTCGGGCCCAAACCGGCGCGCATCACGTGCGCTCGCGCGTTCTAGGCCCGCGCTTCGGCGCGGGGCAGCGTCAGGACCTGAAGGCGCTCCGGAGTGACGGTGGGTTCTGTTTTTTTGTTACATATATATATATATATACATAATATATATATATATATATATTTGCCGAGGGGCCCTGTTCGGCTTGGTTTTCGGGGAAGCCAAAAGGAAACTTGGACATGTTTATTCACATGCCCACAGGATCCCCCTGTTCCAGCGTCTACAAGCAGAGATAGGAGAGTGCCTCCTTCCAGAGCCAAGCTTGCAAAACCTGAAGCGAATAGGGTAACAAAGCTCCAACTGGCTTTGGGCGGAATCCCAAAAGGAGTTGATGCCTTCTGCCTGAAGAAACACCAGCGCGCCGAAAGCGTGCAGGGCTGCCTTGCGACAAAGCAACCAACAGTATTGCCCGGTTGAAGGCGCCGGTGGAAAGCT